GTCTCATAATTTGATTCCAGTAAATAATGCAGCAAAAGCAGAGACATTCCAGTAAACCCAACCAGGAAGTTGAGATTATAAGGATATAGAAGAATAATCAAAAACCATGATAAACAACCTGCTCAAGCGGTTCGTCGTACCCTTGAAACATTTTAATAGAACCCGACCACATTTTTTTTTTCTGCGTCTCAAAGGAACACGTTTTAAAAATGTATCAACCAATAAAATCTGGAGGCTGGTCTGGTGACTTACTACAGGTAAGTCACCTATTCCGGAAAACAATAGTAAAAGAAAATTGAATAGTTGCCAAGAAACGTGAAGTCGTTCAAGCCTTTATCAAGGAGTCGAGGAACCACTTCCGGAATAAAATGAGGTTCTTATTTCATTTTTTTATTCACTGGACTTTGATTTTCGGAATCTTTAATTTGACCGAAAATCAAGAAAACGTAAGATAAAAATTATCAAATAACCTTATTTGCAATAGGTAAAAATTAATAGATTGCTCTGCATTTTCATCAAAAGAGAAATTTCTCCTTATACCGAATTTCGTTCTGAGGATTTTAATAAAGGTTCCTTTGGATACTTCATGAATACATTTATTTTTTATCCAACAAACAGATTCATTTTTACTTTACCGCCATTTTTTCCATTATTACAAGTTTTTTAAATTATAAATTTTTTCCAGCTTCTCTTTGCACCTAAATATTCCACCAAATGAAGACAATCACATATGAAATCAATTGATGAGAAACTGTTTCTGGAGGGAAAGTTATTTAGTCTGAAAATTAAAAAAAAACTTAAAACTTGAAATTTTAATAAAACTAAAATTCATGGAAGAGTAAATAGCATTCCACTCTATTATTTTTTGTGGGGGTTTTGTGGAATCTCAACCATAATTTTTGCTGTTATTTGCTAAAAATACTTTCAATTTTTCCCAAAGGATCCCATGGGACCAAAGTAAAATTCGTTATACAGAGAAAATTGCTGTAAAGAGATTCCACCAGCAACTCAAACCAACACACACGCCATATTGTTACCAAAATTTGCTCAAGTTTGAATTGTTTTTTTATCTGCTTACATATACTGTAGCTTTGACAAACTGTGGTATAGAACTGGAAATTTCTCATCTGACTTTAATGCAGGTGATTCAATTTGACCGTAATCCATTGAAAAACTAGGGTAAAATTGCAAAGAGGTCAAATTGCTAGACACTTTGTGATAATTCAGAAATATAAGTACAAAAATGATAATTCAAAAATATAAGTACAAAAATGATAATTCAAAAATATAAAGTACAAAAATGATAATTCAAAAATATAAGTAAAAAATTAATAATTCAAAAATATAAGTACAGTACAAAATTGCAACAAATGTGGCCAAAGCAGGTCAAATTGTGTGTTGCTTGAGTTTAAATTGTTTTTTATCTGCCATCATAGCTTCTGACAAACTGTGATAAAGAACTGGAAATTTCTCATCTGACTTTAATACAAGTGGTACATTACTGCAATTTGACCCTAATTCATTGCCAATCTATACAGTAAAATTGCAAAGTGGTCAAATTGCAAGTCAACCTCCCTGAAAATTCAACTGTCAAATTGCGAGGTACCACCTGCATATCTATAATGCTTAAGAAAATTGTTGACTATATAGGATGATTTGGTAAGAAAGCAATACAAGAACAACAGCAACAGTTTATGAAACGATTTCCTGTGTGCATATATTTAGAAAAAATGTGTGGATCCCATAGGGGGGGGGGTGTGTCGCTGAAATGTCACAAAAGGGCGGAATTTTGGAAATGAAACACCAGAATCAGCTGGGGATTTCATAAAGAAATCCCAAAGAGAAAAGATAAAGATGTACTTCAAACTTTAACCCCAAGATTAATTGATCACACCACACACAATAAAAATCACTCAGGAAATCAGAGGGATACAAGTTAATTTGATAATGGTTTTTTGTCAGACTGTCTCAGGAATAATGAATATTGAAAAATGTTGGAAGAGTGACCTTCTATGGTTTTTTGTTCTCTCCCCTTCCAGGAATCTGCAGAAAACAGAAGTGAAATCTCAAATGTTCTAGATTAATCTAAATAAATCTTCAGACAAATTTGTTGTACCATGAGCATATAGGTTTGCGGTACTTTAACGTACCGAATTATTCCGCCACAGGGGGGGCTTAGGGTTCTCTCCTCTGTTATAGTGGTTATTCTCTACAATGAAAATTTCTACAACAGTTTTTTCCTAGTCTTTCGAATTCCGTTTCAGAGATAGTCCACCTGTATTTTAATTATTTTTGGGGGGGGGGGGAGGGTTTCATGGAATCTTGACGATCTTTGCCGATTATTCCCAGATGAAAGAAAAAAGAAGGGTGGGGCAGCAGATATATTCTGCGACGACGATATGAAAACGAGGATGTGATTGAATCGATAAAAGCCGTGTTTTTCTTCACCTTGGTGGAGTAAGCCAGGCGATGAGTGCCCCAAAATAAGGGACCACGAGGACACGCCTTGGGGTGATGGTGGGCCAGGGCGCAGATCCGCGACGGGTCACGGAACCCCTTCACCAAACCCGCACTGAACCTCATGATCAAGAAACTTTTTTTTTTTTTGCTTTCTTCTTATATATCAAACCCTGTTCACTGAAACACAAAACACGTTCCCATCATATTTTGAGGATTCAAGAAAAAAAAAATATTGGCGATGATGAGCAACCTTTTCGTAGAAAAAAAAAAGTATTCACCCGATAATTCTGGAACCACTTTACCATCAAACCCTCCATTGAAACTAACCATCAAGAGATTTATTCTTCTCGTCAAGTTCGTTTCACTGGAATAAAATAAGTTTTCGTTCATTTTGAAATTTTTAAAATCGATCATTGAAAATTTTCCAATGATTTAGAAATAAGAGAGAAAATAAAATAAAAATCAGATTTAAGCGTTGAATTCCGTAAAATTCGGCTGACATTTACGAAGGAGCCAGACCTTTCCTTTTCGCTAAATTAAGCGTTTCTACACAAGTTTGGGAACGTTTTTAATTGGCGCAAATTTTCTCAATTGAGATATAAATATAACATATGTAGTGTATATAGAGTCTTCCTCGCGTTTCGTAAAATGAATCGGGCAGAAGATATAATTTTCAGGAGTTCTCGAATTAATAGAAAAAACCAGTTTTACCAGTTGTATAATTTCCCTTTTTATATTTCATCAATTATTTATTTCAATTCCTATGAAATCAGAAAAACTTGGTAAATTTGACGAAACGACGGGACTTCTTATCACTGGAGGAGCAGAAGGGAAATCTTCGGAATCTGTTTTGTTATCATTCTGAAGACATCGAGAAAAGTTCGAAAATACTGTATACTGTACTAGCTGCACTTTATTTCATTTATCATCTTTCAATTTTACGCGAATTCAAACTTCTCATAAGCACAGCATGAAGTGACTCATCCTTTTCAACAGTAAAGAAAAATCTCACGTCTCGGAAGCGTTTATTTCTCGCAATAATAATTCATTTCGACTTGAATATTTAAAAAAAAAAATGTATACCACGTTAATATTTCATTCACCTGTAAATAAGTGAAAAAGAGGATTTCTTCGAATGCTTAGGTTTTCCAAAACAAAAGGTGAGGTCATCCACGCGCTCTTTTCTAAATCATTTTTTAACGAAGCAACAAAGAAAAAAGTAGCTCTTCGTTTACAAACGTCAACAAGAACTGGCAGAGTCCACAGAATGTTCATGATCATGCATCCAAGCCAAGATAAAATTTGGAACAAGTTCAAAAGCCTTTCAAAGTAGCCTCTGATGTCAGAAAAAAGTCAGATCGGAACTGGAAGAAATTTGCAATGAATACAAATGGACACTATATACAGTATACGGTACACGTGGTAAAATCGAAAACACGGAATTTTGTTTTCAGAAAAGATAAATGCGAGAATATCGTTACATCTTCGAATTGTGCATGATGTGTTCCCGTGAAATGTCATTCACCGCGTGTTTCTCGAAAACTGATTCAAAATTCATCTGCCAAAAATCGAACATCAAATAAGTCCTCCGAAAAATGAGCTGAATTTTCGTCATTTTCACTGGAGAAAATGTCATTCTTTCCCTATAACATTCGTATTTCTTTAAAAGGACCCTGCAACAGTTTCTAAAATTTCCCTCCGTTCAAAAAAAAACGGAAATCTACGATCACGGAGTGTATAAACAAACATTTTTAATCAACGGAAAAGAAGCAATGTGCTGATCACAGCAAAATCTCAACATTATTTTTTTTTTGAGCACAGAGGGTAAGTTTCACGCCGAAAAATGCAACGCACCGCAAAAAAACTTCTCGCACTTCTCACGGAAACAAAAAATAATAATAATAACTCGAAGAATAAATCAACATGTTCACTATCATTGCATAAATAACATCCACGTTCGAAGCGATAACATATTGTTTGATATGAAACGTGAATCAATTTTTGAATCACGAAAAAACACAAATATTGAAATTTTAAAAATTAATTTTAAAAATCACAAGTACCGCTGTAAAACTTTTCCAAATAAGGTGAACATCAAACGCTTCATTTTGGCTTATTTCAATCCAAGATTTGTAAGACAGGAACAATTTCACGACATGTCATCTTCAAGCACACAGCTGAGGTGTGTAACTAATCGCTTTTGAATAAAGTCCAAATTCAAGCATCAGAAACGGTACAAAAATATGCACGCACAGCAAAAAACAAAACGCATAAATCGGCACTTCAAAATATATAGGCGGAACACAATCACGTTTTCGTCTATTCAATCAACGACTATAAAAAGCTTGGATTGAAAAAAATAAATAAAAAGTTTGAGTCCCGAAATCATCCGAGATTATTTTTTTCAACTCAAGGTCATTCATTTCGGATATAGAGTAGTTCCAAGCAGGATATGAAGAATGTCACATAAGCATGTGAATATATGGAGCGGATAAACTTCCGTCTGACCAGAACTTTTATTCCACCGGTAGACTGTCTGTACGAAATACGTCAGCACAAACACATTGGCGACTTTGTTTAATTTACATTCTCTAATACTCTACCAACACACTTACACCGAGTCCGAGCTAGTGTGTACTGGTCGAGATGGAAAAACTCCGCAGGAATGCCCTCTTTCACAAACTGGAAGCTGCTGGAGGGAGGGAGAAATTATCTCTTCATCACATCAACTTGACACACTTACACCGAGTCCGAGCTAGTGTGTACTGGTCGAGATGGAAAAACTCCGCAGGAATGCCCTCTTTCACAAACTGGAAGCTGCTGGAGGGAGGGAGAAATTATCTCTTCATCACATCAACTTGAACCTTCATGAGGGATCTGATCAAAGCTTGGAAGTCCAAAACAACTGGCGAGGCTGCCCCCTTTGTTGTCATTTTGTGACGCCATAGTCAAGTGGATAATCATAAACTTGTGATTTGATATGAGAAAAATGAAGCGAATTTTAGGATGATGCGATTATAACTGCAATAGGGTCATAGTGTACAGTATTTGATGTACAGTTGAACCTTGCTATAAATCTGATTTGAAGGGACTACAGTATTTTAAAAAATACTTGGGGAGTTTTAGAGGGGCAGCCTTCTTCTTGATTTGAGTAGATTAATTGAAAGACATTAGTTTCTTGCCAAATTATTATAACTGCTCATTATTCATAGATGTTCTACCAGCAGAAAGTTGCCTAAACAATTGCAGAAGGCATAAAGAAAATCTTGTCCATAATTTATTTCTTATACTTTCAGGAATATGTGTTCTAAAATGTAGCACATACAGGTGTGCTCTACAAAAAATTGCTGGGGACCAGAAAATAATTCATTGTACAGAGAAATTTATTTTAGGCAACTTGTATAGGAATATAACATTCCTTAAGCAGGGATGTAAACATTTTTAATGCCTAATATTTTGTATTTAGAAAAGCCTCTTCATTGAAAAGAATTCAATGCATAGTTGTTGATGCCAAACAGAATACAGTGCTGTATTTTGAATGTAGCTGAAGCACACAAAAATCCACAGTGCATAAAAAAATCTGAGGCAAGAAATACAAATTCAAGAATTAAAGCACACAGAGCACAGCATCACAAATATGAAAAGTCTTTATGGAATGGGATGAAATGAATATAAATGAAAATGGTCACACTGTAGCTCCCAAATTATTTGCTGGCTATATGAATAATATTGAGAACTTCAGCTAGCATACATCCAGCATGTAAAATAATCTAGAATTATTTGGATCAACTATATTTTCTCCATACAGAACCGCAGAGCAGAATTATGTTGATTTGGACCATCAATCAACCCTCCATGTATTTGCGTTTGGTGTGAATGAACTGTTACCTATACAGTACTGTTTCCTTAAAATCAAATGGATTGAGAATGACATCTATCCCAGGACAAACATTAGTCGAATATTAAGCATTATAGTTTTTGTGTAGATGTAACTCTTGCAAGAGGAAAATTTTTTGTCTCTTCAGATCAGGTAAATATTGTGCATATACTGTATATTGGTTATTGGTATACTGTATTTGAAAAAATGACTACCTCCACTTTATTGATGTTTTGAATGCACTATGGGTATTATACTTCAGTAATTTTTAACTGCCTTAGGGTATTGTGCAGGTGAAGGGATGAATCACTTGTTTAAATTACAGATTCAATTAAAAATAAGTTATGCACTCACATTTATCACCATGTGACTTTGGAATGGTGTCACATTCAAGGGATTAATTTGCAGATAAAAAATGAATCTTTTTCTGGCTATGTTTGGAAGTGATTATTAGGAATTATTTGTGAGGGAATACATATGAATGCATTAAAAGATTTCCCCTTAGACAAGGGAACTATATATTACAGTGCTCTAGAACCAAATTTACATTTTCTGCTTATATAGCAAACACTTTCAAACAACCACTCTATACTACTCATAAAACAGCAACCAAAATAAACAGGATGAATGCTATAATAAGTTTATGTATACTATAGTGAGAAATGATCTGCACTCACTTCAAATGTACTACCCAATAGTATGTTGTCTTCCTACACAGTTTCCAACATTTAATTCCCTATTTGGAAGCATGTGCTGTTCATGAAGTCACTCATTGATTATGGTTTTGGGGGACAGAGTAGAAGGGAGTAGCCCTTCATCTACTACTCAGCTAAAGATGGAAGCAAGAAAAAGACCTCATAGCAGTTAATGCTCTCCACACTGAAGTGGATTGTATGGACTGAAGTTACGTTTATTGGATCAAGAGGAGCTGCACACTTGAATTGTATACACACACAAGAAGTATAATATGAGGACCAAAAGGGGGAAAATTACTGTGCATGGACATTTGAAGAAAAGGTTCAGCGGTTTTCGATTTCAGAAAAAAATGATAATGCAAAGTCTATCCCTGGTGCGCATAACTTGTAGATTCATTTTTGGTGGTGCGGAAAACTGCAGAATCACGCAACAAGAATCAGCAAAATGTGCATCCCATCTCCTGTTCTGCACATTCTATACTTCATCGTCGATGCGATAGCAAAAAATATTCCAGAAAGTTCGAGACGTCGAGAGATAGTGTAAAAGTTTTTAGTTTTAGAACCTTTTTGTTGTCTTGTCCTTCTAAGCAGGTCACGAAATTACAAAAATATCCGCGTTTTTATTTTAATTGCGTCGCGAAGCTTTAAAAAAATGAGGTTTCGAAAAAAGACCGCTGTTTCGTCGTTTTTCCTGGGACTGTTTATCCTGGTTTCTCTGGGCGTTTTGCGACACGTTAGCAAAAATCCGAGGGAATACAAGAAACTGCTGGTAGATCTCGGGGGAGCGATTTGTGCCATTCCCGGGTTTCGTGTCAACGACTTTTCATTTTTGCTCAACCCGAACTTCACGCAAAATGACGGAAAAACCGTGACGAATTTCAAGAAATGCCGTGAAATTTGCATACCTGGCTACATCATCAATAATCCGCACAAGTGAGTGGATTTTGCAACTAAATCTTTCCCGTGTTTCCATCATTTTTCCATTTCCAAACGAACTTTTTTTGTTAGAAATAACGTTTCTAGATTTTCCTTTTCGTCTGTCCGGTCAGCATTTGAAGAATTTCTTTGCAAATATATTGAAAAGTTCAGTGGATGGTTTATACGAAAAAAAATGGGGCAATAAAACTATACAGGTCAGCAGAGCTATATGTCAGGGAATTCTAGGTAAGTCTTTACAGAAAGTAAAGAAATATGAACCACAACATACAGATAAAACAAATTTTTAAAATCCGAGCTATAACCATGCGTATAAACAGCTGGTTCCAAAATAGGTTCACGCAGTTCTCAGTTCAAAAATTTTTGGACTGTTTTCAAAATTAGATATCAATAATCAACAAAATGAATCAAGAAGAGATTTGTGCAGCGGAATAATAGAATAAAGTGATTTGTCCACAAAATCTTTAATGACAGATTGAGGGTGTAATACACAGGGTGTATAACTACGGTTTCTGAGCAGTGCTCTTCATTTCGAAAAACAGATCCGCGCCATATATACAATCTTACAAATGAATTTAATTCCGATTGGCGGTCTTCGGGGAATAAAAAAAAAAAAGAAGCGCTGATTCATTTTCCTCGTGAAGCAAAGTCAAATAATGTACTATGATTGTCTCATCAGGTGTGACAATGTAACCGAGGTAATCGTGGCCGTTGTATCTGCACCACGCAATGAGCTGGAACGTAAGACCATTAGAGAAACCTGGGGGCGACACCTGGAGTCCATCTCCAACTCAAGTGTAATCTTCGCATTCGGGAAAACAAGCCCTGAAAACCAACGCATCCTAAGATCTGAAGCTGACACGTTCGGAGACTTGATCCAATTCCAAGTAGAGGATCGCAATTTCGGAATTCACACTTGCAAGCAGCTCCTTGTGAACGACTGGATCCGAGACTTTTGTCCAGGTGTCGCTCATATCCTGGCCACGGACGATGACTTGTACGTCAACGCGAGACACCTAGTTGACTTCTCGCGTCAGAACCGCGGCCTACGCAACGCGATGCTCGGCTACACATCGCCTCAATCTATGTGCCGGGACAAAACCCAGGACTTGGACGACTTCCCGACTTACAAATACCCTTACCCAGTGAATGCCAGGTTCATCATACAGTCAGTTTTCTACAGCAGAGAAACAGCATTGCGTTTGTCACGCGCAGCCGACACAGCTAATTTTTGGCGCATGGCTAGCGACATGTACATATCCGGAGTTCTGGCGGAAATCGCAGGGATTGAGCGGAAAACGAACATGAGGTTCGCTTACTTGTTTGGCGAATATGTTTTAAGAAATAACTTTTCTGACGAGTTCGTTCGCGTGGCTTACAAGAATGCCATAGTGATTTCACACCTATCGATTTTGATGAGCCCTGGAGCAGTGCACATAACGCCTGCTATGATTTATAAAATACACGGCATATTTTATCCAGAATTGACTTTGGATGAGAGCCCGCACATGAACTGAAAAATAAATCCTCTGAGTGAATTCGAAAGATTTGGAAATTTAAATTTATACGTACGCACTAATTATAAGTACTGTATGTAGGAGACACGGACAAGTTCCAGTGTTCCTTTTAAGCTATCAGATCCGAATATTGTACTTAATTCCGATCAAAGTCTCATTGAGTACAGTATTTCTGTTTCCATTGTTGATGAAAAACAATAAATTTTGAAAAGCATAATAGCATTCATATACGGTATACAGTATAGTGATTATAGGACTACATACATTATATGCAGTGGAAAATTTATATCACATTCCGCAAAAATAAAATTTTCAAAATAACTACTTCACAAACTCTTTCGACATTATCAAAGTCTTCTAGGAAATATTTCACAAGTTTCAAGTTCAAACTGTGGAGGCTTTCCAAAGTGATACAGTAATGAGGGATTTTTTCCTTTTCTATGCACATAAATTTGAAAATTTAAACAAGCTGAGTCGAACTCCATCTGGATTAGTTATCCATGTTGACCATTGGACGTTTAAAAATTTAAATGTACACTAATAATTTGTTAAAATACACCAGTTTTCAACGTCTGATAACGAAGTCATGCAACTAGAAATACAGTAGATATTTTGTTTTAATACATTTCGTCGGAATGTTGGGGACGGCAGACTGTCACAGGGAATGAACAATTCATATCAGCAAAATTCACTTGCCAACTCAAGACTCACTTGGACAGCCAACAGGGGAAAAATATACTGTATATAACCCAGTTTTCTGACTGACTTTGGTTATGCAATATTCAGAATCGCACACACAAAGTAAAACTTGCAGACATTATACTATTTTAAAATTGTTAACCATTAAAAAATATAATGAACACTTTTCGTTGAAAACAGTTTCTAGAAACATACGGTACAGTATATAAATTCAAAATTGATCACAGCGCAACTTTCCTGCAAGCACATAAAAGTTGGTTATTCTATTTTGATTAGTAAAAACGATCATTCAAAGATGCTGCAAATTTTTTGAGTCAATACATTCAAATAAATAAAATACTTGGATTAGGCTTCTCACTTTTGCAAACTTATGACACTTTTGTCTGGTGGAGAAAAACTTTAGCAGTCACAGCCAAGTTTTCATTTCTCATCATGCAATTTGCTGGAAAATAATCACTTCTCTCTCACAATCACCAGTAATTCGAAAAAAAAGTAGAAGCAGTGACTAAAAACCGTAGAACACACTTTTTTTCTCTCACAGACTGTAGAAACAACCAAGCAAAAAGAGAAGAGCTTCAAATGCTGTCTTTAAGAACGGGTACGCCGAACTCATATACAAAACTGTAAAACTCACGAAGACCAGAATACAAAATGCTGGATACACTTTTGGCAATTGAACAAGGACTATAATAACAAGCTTCAGTACTTACATCCAAATGGTGGCACGCAATATTATAGAGACCAGCGCCTCTTCGTCAATGGTGTGTTTTCATTATTTTTGAATGAACAGCTGATGTATTCTCAGCTTTGCGTTTCATTGCTGACGAGGAGAAGGGTTTGTTGAGGCCGCGAACAACTTTATCGCTCTCTTTCACTGCACCACGAAGCGAATTATTTTTGGGAACTTCCGCGATTTTGGCATCATTTTCTTTTTGGCCGCCGCAACACGCACAATTTCTTCGGTGCTTCAGATCTCGAGCTCGTTTTGGAACGTCTTCTGCTAGAACTTGCTCGAACGTTTTACCTCCGATGAGGAAGCTCTTTGAGGTTCGGTTTTCCCAATCTTTGATTCTATCCAAAATTTGCGCCTCATGAGTTGGCAACGCCTGAAAAATTCGTAACAAATTTTGAAAATTGATAGATTAGAAGAGCTCGATCAGACACCAGCCAATTTTTCTTCATCCAGGAGTTATTCGCCGAATGATAGAGAAAGTATACTACAAATAAATGAAGCGCTCCATCATTTTCTTGGATTTGTCAACAGGCCTGCGTGAAATTTATAATGCGTTCAGAATGGATCCAATTCTAGACTCACGGAACACGGAATACCGTAAGGACAAAATAAATTTCCTGATTCTTAATATAAGAATTGCTATTATATTCACATCTGTGTACCGAATGACGTTCAAAAATTGAAGTCAATCGACTACTGGAAATATAATAGAAAGTTTCGTCGACCGTAACTTAACCACATGGTCTCAAAAAGGCTACCAGTCGTAAAACTGCTACCAGAGCAAGGTTAAAAATGGCATACGACACGAAAAAATAATCATTAATCCCCCTCCCCAAGAGAAAAAACATAAAATGTATAACTCACTTTGCAAATACGCGCTTTCTCTTGATCATCGACCAGCATCTGGGCCTTACGATTCCGAAAACGATTAGGGTCATTTTCCCTGTCATAAATATCTTTCATGGCCACAACGAGCTCAGCTCTTGAATGGAGCAGGTCAAGAATTTCCTGCTTTCCCTCCCTTTCAGTGTGCAGCCTTCGAAGCTCAGCATCATGAGCCTCTAACAAATCTTCCGTGTAATCCTTACATCTCAACTGATCAGCAAAATCTTGTTTTTCACATTCAGCACACATCAAAGATGACCACATTTCACCGATCTCCTCTCGTGCCTTGCGCAGCAAGGTTGGCAGCTGAGACATCTTGAGTTGACGAAGTTTCTCGTTCATTTCACGGAATAAATCGATGGTAGAGGCTTTCGCGCAGTTTTGATCTATGGGAATAGCGTACTCTTCTTCCACTCCAAGTCGTTTGGCCCAATACCGTATGCTTTCCTCCAATTTGGATTTAATTTTCAACCGGGATTCGAACATGTCTTTCAACTGTTCCCGGTAGGTCTGAACAGAGAAAGCCGTTTTAGGGGGAGAATATTTTGAGAAATACACTTACAGAACAACTCACGTAAAATTGTTGAAGGGTATCGTCAGAATAAACGAACTGATTAGATGGTCCGTCAAGAACAACACTCAATAATTCTCTTCTCGAGTCCCTCTCTCCCAACGCATCAACCAACTCCAAGGTGCGCATACGGCAATCTTCAAATTTCGTTTTTCGCTCATTCTATAAAAAATTATATGGAATATATACGTAAGAGTCCATAATTGGCTACTTCGGAATTTATGAAATTACGCACGAGATCTCTTTCGAGGCCTTCAACGAACGTCTGATATGTTTCCAAATACTCAAGTGAAGGCACGGAAGAGGTATCACGTTCACTGACATCGAGTCCCATTTGTGAGGCGGCGAATTGTTCACGGTCCCGTAGAGATTTCAGCTTCGCCAACCGTTCCTCTTTTTCCGCTTGAAGATTTTCCAATCTTTTCGTTAAGGAGGACTGGTACGCAGTGACACTCAGTTCTCCCGGAGACAGATTCGGAATATTTTCTCCGAGAAGTTTGCCAAGGAAAACCACATCTGATTTCGCGTCCAGGACTGCGTTCGCACGTCTTTTTTCAAAGATCAGCCTTTCTTTAAGGAATTCCTGAAGACGAGTTAAAACCATCCCATTTTCTTGTCAAATGCACATTTTTTCCCCCGCCGTCTTACCTCGAAGGCAGCCGTGTGATTATCGAGGGAGTCATCAAGTTGAGGTTTCTCGAATCCAGCAAGTTCCCAATCATTTATCAGGCCAGAGAAGGAAACCAAAAAGTTATCCTTCCACAGTTGACCGATTTTCCTGCGTGAAGCAACGAAAAATTAAAAATACGAAGCGTGCATCAATGGAAGACCTCTTACTCAAGACATTGAGAAACATCTGATGACTTCATAATGCAGTAACGGCCGCCGCGTCCAAGATGTATCCACTACTTCAAATTAACAGGGAGAGCAATACTTGCTGAATCCAAAAATAGATCCACTGGATACAGAAACTCGCCATAAAGTCGGAGAACTTTTCACGGTACGAGAATTCCCAAGACTTTCCAAAACCGCGCCAATTTACGGCTAATTCAAATATCTTCTGCTAGGGGAAGAACACAACAAAATCGGTGTGGCACGCAGTAACTTTTCCTGGACTTATGTTTTTAGGGACAGACTTCTGTTCAACGCCTCACAGATTGACCAACTGAATTGATGATTATTGAATAATTGGAGAGTAGGAGGAAGGCACTTTCCAGAAGAATGTATAGATGTCGCGAAAGAAACAGTACAAACTGTTTCTTGTAGATGGAGCTAGTAGTCTGGGTCCCCCCAACTAGGATAGCTCCCTAATATCTTCTGCTAGGGGAAGAACACAACAAAATCGGTGTGGCACGCAGTAACTTTTCCTGGACTTATGTTTTTAGGGACAGACTTCTGTTCAACGCCTCACAGATTGACCAACTGAATTGATGATTTCCACAGTCAGTCGGCCGACGTTAGATAAATTATAGTATAGTATTCAAGGATATCAACTCACGTAAATTTTGGCGATACAATACATAAATTAACGTACACTGTAAATGGACACCAATGAAGTGTCGGGGTGAAACTATTAGCGACACCTAAGTTCACCTTCCACTCTCTCTACTGAACAGCATTGAACATGACCATGCATTCACTGGTAGGCTAGCGCGAACGTTGATAGAGTAAGCATGCTTCGGGCGATGAAAAGTTATGTCCCGTGTGGATTCCAGTTGAGGTCGTTGTGCTCGATCAGTTTGAATGAATTTCATTCGTAGAATCCGCACTCTTACAGACTGTGTGTTATAGCATGAGCGCAAAATGAGTTCAGCATCTGGCTTGGAACAGCTGGAAAATCAGTTGGAAGGCTTGATTGAAAACGTCCGACAGATCGGAATAGTTGTCAGTGATTTCCAGCCTCAAGGCCAGAATGTCCTTAATGCAAAAATGTGAGTATTTGTCTTGTATGACTCCAACTTTGACGTTTGTGTGCGACAATGGTTTGTTCGTCCACAGTCATGCTGTTGTCGCTGGAATGCAGGAGATTAATAAATTGAGGTCGCATCCATCAATTCAGGATATCCAAGTTCCACTGGAAGTTTTCGAGTGAGTAACATGAAAAGTTGATCGCCTTAGAGGTGCTGACTTAGATTTAATGTTCTCAGCTACATCGACGAAGGCCGAAACCCACAGTTATACACCAAAGATTGTATGGAAAAAGCTTTAAGTAAGAACGAGCAAGTGAAAGGCAAGATCGACGCTTACTCCCGGTTCAAGTCGGAGCTTCTGTCGCAATTATCGAACGTTTTTCCGACCGAGATGGCTCATTACCGTTTGAACAGAGGTGAAGAACGTGCATCATTGTGAAATCCGTCTCGTAGGATGGCTGCTCTTTTGGAAAAGCTGGGACAGTCTGGTGCTGGAGTTTCAGTGTTCGAGTTGTTCGTGAAGACATCCTACGAGAAATTTCTGATTCGTGTGAACGCGTATACTTCTGTTGGAGAATGGAAATCTCAACTTTCAGAATACTGTACTTTAATTTTTCCCTCCAGTCTGCAGTTTATCTAATATTCGCTGGAAGAATTCTTGTTGACCGTGAAACCCTTGTGGAAGTTAGACTGGCTTCCGGTCTTACTGTTCATTGTAAGGTGAAAATTGCTCCAGCACTGTCAGATGTCAACATAACTCACATAGGCGCGAATCGCGCCTGATTTCTGCATACGTGTACCGGTGGCATTGAAGAAAAATTCCGCACATGCCCTGAAGCGCTGTCGGAGAGCTTCGAAGAAACTTGAGCATCGTGCTCTGATGTGGATTGTGAAGACCGATGAAAATGAAGTATTAGCGGCACTCTTCAGTAAGTGAAATTGTCGATTGTTCCATCATTATGGGCATTCGGCTGTACAAAGCAGTCCAAATAAGTACCTCTTGTATTTATGTAGCAAAAACAAAATTTTTAAAGGAACAACTGTATTTAAATTTACTCTTGGCAATGGTTAGTATATGTATTGGTTTTATTTCTGTCATACAAACTTAGAGCATATACAATCTGTAAAATTAAATGTCAAGAAAACCTTCAAAGTTATATGCTTTAACCCATTACCTGCTGGGGGCCCCATTTGGGACTCATGTAAAAATATGCCAAGGCTCTGCAATTAAGTCATCTATAATTCAAGACCTCATTTACATTTTTTTTTTCCAGTTTTCAATCAACAGCAAAATGTTTTCTGAAGCCAATTCACAAATTCCATTGGAAAGTTAAAACAAGGTTTTTGGAATGCAAAAAAGTACTTTCTTGTGCAGCTAAACTCAAAATTTTGTATGTCCTTGTAGCCTGGTCACTTCTGAATGCTTTGGCATATTTTATTTAATTTTCTGAAATTTTGCTCAATCACAACAAGTGCAAGAACCTTGATCCCCAAATGGGGCTCATGGCAGGTTGGGTGTAAAAAATTAATTTTCAAAATGTCTTGAAAATGTTTCAAAAAAGTTCCTCATGATTAATAAGCCCAACTGCTGGGTTGAGAATGCAAAAGTGATGAGAAAGATATGTGAAACAATTTTTCTTTTATTTTATCAATTTTTTCAATTTCTTCTCAAGCTGTAATGAAGACAATTTTTGTGAAAAAATATTTTAAAGATGCCCCTATGCTTTTGAACTTTATCTAACAGCTAGAAAATGTCAACAAATCACTTGGTTTATAAGCTAGATGATGATCATTGAGTTTTTTGCTTTCACAAAAAAAACTTCAGAAATGTTTGGAAAATCATAAAAAACATATTTATGCATTTCATTCCTAGTGGCATTCTAGCATCTCAGATGAATCAGAAGATATGTTTGCACTCAAGTTTAGCTTACAGTATAACAATTTTTTCAAAAAATGCAAAAAATATTTTTCAATGTATAGAAAACTGCTTTTACTAGTAAAAAGAAGATGGTACCTGCCATGAGCCCCATTTGGGGATCAACTTTAAAATTCAAATATTTGACTAAATTTTGAATTTAAAATTTTGAAAAAAATCTCCCCAGCTTATCTAAATGGATAATAAGAGAAATAATGAAGCAGGAAACTCAACCTTTTATTCCCTTATTATTCTTTTTCTTAATAGATTGAAATGATGCAAAAATGGGTGTGTAGGAAATTTGGCAGTTAATGGGTTAATGTAATGTTTTTTTTCATTAAATTTGAAGGTTGAGTTTTCTGCTTTATTCTTTTTCTTATTATCCTGTTCAAAATGCTTTTTTTAGGTACATGTGAGTGAAGTGTGGATTCAATATGTTGAGATAGTCATGTCAATGGTGGCATCTTTTTGGGCGACCATATGAAAAAGTAGGCGTTACGCAAATCGGAAATGCTTCAGAATTCCTGTTGTTCAAAATAATGCCTCTCATTTCAATTTTGCCATGCTCCCTATTTGACTTTTCATTGTACCGAATTCCAACGTTTAATTTTTTCTCTTTTATTTTCGTATATTTTAGGAAGGCCGGCGATGTTCGAAATGTTGGCGTAATCAACTGATCAAAGCATTCCTGGATTCCGTCCAACATAGTAGAATGTTGCTCATGAGCGAACGAGCGGCGGATTCAGTTTTCACGCCGTCGAGACCGAGCCATTTCTATACTTGAGTCTACACAGAGTTGATTTGCTCTTCTGAGACGGAGATGCTTGGAAATTAAGGAGCCCTTCACACTGGCCGTTTATGAACAGCTTTATATTTTTCATGAACAAATTTATTTCGATCGGCAACCTACTACCCGTCGCAGGCCGCGTGCCGATGCCAAACCTGTGGAAGGATCCTCAAAACTTGGTTAGTATTTATGGCCTAATATTGTAACGGATTTTACGGTAGAAATTCATCATGAGGAATGAATGCTTACAATAATTTCATTTATTTATTTTTTTCATTTTGGTTCCTGTCCAATATCCCCCAGCGCCATTTTAATTTCGTTTCAACGAATTTTTTTTTAACGAAACATGTTTAAGGCGCCAGACGCGTCGTTGTATGGAGATTGCACTGCATTGCTTTGAGTAGAAAACACATTGTATGACTGAAAGAAGAAGTCATTTACCTCGAAACCAGCATCTGAGAATTTATGACTTTTTACCTGGAGCAGGTTTTCACGTGATTAAGCTCGATCTCACGATGTACTTCGGAAGATCATTGAATAACGGAAAACTTCCTTTTAAAAATCCGTGCCGTTTTTTTTCCGGTTGAAGCATTCACATAAGATATTTGATATTTTCTTGGGTGGCTTGGCTCGACGAGTGACGGTAACATTTTTGTGTAAGAAAGTTCCGGGATTTTTCTGCCAAAATGACAGGAATGAATTTATAATCAGTGAATAGTAATCTCCGCTGCCTATTCCAAGGCGAGATAAAACACGCAATTAGCGAATAACATTATATATCATCGGAAATCTTGAGGACTTATTTTTCGGGATGTTCAAAATAATGTTGAAGTCATGATTTTAGAGCTTTTTTCTGATTATTGTTTTCATTTGAAAGTAACTGAAGAATGGAATCTTCCTCCGTTACAAAACATGAGTCCTGAGTCGGAGCCTGCGTCAAGTGAGCCGCAGTTACCAATAGTCAATCAATCTTCGCCGGATTTCGATGCATTTTCTTCGTGAGTATTTTCGGAGCTTTTTGAACAGCTTCATGAATATGATGAATATGGTATTTCTTGAATCATGAGGTTATTTCGGTGATGATAAATTAAATTGAAAGAAGCCATCTGGGATTTTTTTTATACAGTATTTTCTGTGGTGTGAACTGGATAGTGTTGGTCAACTTTCAAATCGGTAAGTTGGAAAATCTAAGAATGATGGAATTGTTCGGACTGCTTTTGATAGCTTCTATGTCTCGTCCACGAAAAAGAAACACGAATGTAGGTCCCCCACCATTACAAATACAGAAATTGTTTTAGCATGCAGAATGATTAATTTTTGGATATGGCTTCCAATGCGAGGTGCGTTTGTAATTTGTGTTTTGGCTAATTCATAAACAGATGATAGTCTTGAGGAAACCCGATGTTTTCCTGACGGTGCACTGATGATTTTAAATTATTTCTTCAGCCAATATTCATCGCAGCTATCTGAGCTATGTTAGGACGGATAGACAGTCTTTGAATATGGAGGATCTCAGATATGTAACAGTGATCGTGACTTTCTTGTAGGAAGGATAGTCAAACTGCGTCGATTGCCTTGGAAAGTCAATACGGAGCACAGTTGAATCAGATGCTGTCGATGGGATTTGGAAACCGTGAAGAGAACTTTCAAGCTCTTGGAGAGATGTGTGGAAATGCAAACGCTGCTGTCGCACATCTTGCAGTAAAGACTCCGTGCAAGGAAAAAAACGGTGGTTCGCAAAGCTGATTGTTTCTGGAATCTTGATGCAAAGTTCCCTTCAAAAATCAGTTGTATTACTATAATGAACTTTCTCGTGTCGCTCATCGCTTCACGTGAATTTGTGGTTATCTGGAAAGTCGCCTAATTTAAAAATGTCATTCCAGTAATTTTTTGCGCCGGCATCGCGACTGTCTTCATCGATTTGAAAGGAGAAAAAAAATGTTGTCTTCATATCTTCCATTGGTGGCCAAAGAAAAGTCATGTCGAAAACAGCGCTAGAAATAATTTACTATGATAATTTAAAGGGATACTTATTGTATTTCGTGTCTGTTCCGAATTCGGTTCATTGCTCCGCGGTTCTTCTCAATTTTTTGTCGAATATCAAATGATGAACTACAGTACTTCCATGTGAGCGCATTCGCTTGTATAAAATCACAGGGGTTCGCGTCATAATATCTTATAATTTTTTATTTTCCTTTTTCGTTCGCTTCGGTTTTTTCCACCATAACTGCGAGACATTCAAACGCTCATTTCCCGTGTATGATAAAAATGGTCTCGAAATTCAAATTTACCGATTTTATTTTGACGCGTTTTTCCGAAATATCCGATTCTTTGATGTTGTGTACGAAAATCCGTTTTAGCTACGGCAATGATGCAAATATTAGAAGCACTTTCTTCTGACATTACACATAAGTGCCTTTTTTTGGTTTTCGTGTAAAACGTTCGCAAAAATTGTGAAATGATACGAGCAGGCGAACGCTGAAGATATGTTTGGAACACCCTCTAAACTGCATACAGGAATCTAAAAAGTATAAATGGAAATCCTGTATTTGAAAATATCTGTCCACTCTCCTGTTTCTCTTGGTAGGTGACTTCAGAGTCCCATGGTAGTATTATTGATTTATTGTCGTTGAAAAGTTCAACTTCACTCGAAGGGTTATAACTGAGATTTTGGCGAGATATTCTCATTGCAGTGCTTCTGTGTTCGAGACGATTTGTTTGAAAATTTGATTGTTTTTTTCGGCACTGTACGGGTGTGTTTTGACGTATTACGCGGCCAAAGTCATATGTTTTTTATTAAATTTTCGGGAAGGCCTTTTTAATTGATCTTTTTTTATTTTTAATTGCAGTAGAATATTGGTTATACAGTACAGTACTGTATCGCTTTTCTTCAAGACAGTCCGCATTACGGTGCTGTGATATTACCACCGCAGTCATTATATTTCGAAATCCTTGAAAGAGCCCCGAGGACGGTACTCAAGAGTTCGATCTTTCAACGCTGATCGAATTTCAAGTGAGACAGGCATTGATAACTTTTCAAATGGGAATTTTCAACCCAACTTTGGCAGTGAGTCTAGTGACCGAAGTGAAACAATAAGACGAACGAATACCGAATGCTGAGCATGGAATTAATTTTCGTTTTGGTTGGTAAGTCTCGAGGCAGGTCAATGTGCCTTCTATAACTCAAGTATAATTCACCCTTGAGTAAGATGTGCACTCAGATTATTCAGCCCAACATTTTAGTAAGCCATGCTCCCCATTTTTAGTGGCTGATGAGTTCCAATATTTCAAGAATGAAACACACCAGAATTTGGATTTTGACTTGTATGGAACTCAAGTTCAATTAAATGTAGATGGTTTTCATTAAGCAATATGTTGGAATGGTTCCAAAATTTACCAATGGAATCAAGAAAGATGCACACCTAAAATTATAAAATTGGTAGGAAAAAAGTTTTACCCATTTGAAATGGTGTACATGGTTATACTGTACACTTGAACCTCAATAAAGCAAACCTCCCTAAGTCACATTTTTTAGGTCCTGTCTGAATCCCCTAAATATTAATGCATTAAGAACCTCCCTAAGTTGAAGGCTTTTCCCCTCAAACCTCCCTAAGTCAAATTTTCTGTGGACTGTTGGATTTTATCTTCTTGACACAAGAAAGAATAAAGCAATCAAAACAGAAATTGATATGTTCTAAAAGGAGGCGAGAGACTTGATTGGGCAAATGAACCCTGCCTCCAAGTTCAGGATTCATTCAACTCATTTAAGAAGTAATTTCAGCCTCAGAATATCACAATTTACAATTCTGAGCAATTTTTCTATGCTTCACAGAACAAGATGGCTTTGTATTGTAGCTCAATTCAAAACCACCTAAAGTCAAATTTTTTTGCTGGTCACTTGAAATTTGAAATAGAGAGGTTTGAATGTACTTGAGTAAATATTGTGTTATGTGAAAGGTTCCACCAAGAAAGTGACAATTTGTTCATAATTGATGTTCATCATGCCAAATAGATGAGGTATGTGTCTATATATGCCTGAATAAGTGGCATTCATATGCTGAACCACAGTTTTGCTGCCATGTTCTAGTTAAGCTGAATTGAACTCACTGGAACAGTTGGCTGCCCACCCACTGATCCAGCTCCGCCTGCACAGCACAACCTTCTCATCCACTGAAACGGTGCGAATCGAAATTCCGTCCTTCCTGTGGGTAAAATTGGGGAAATTTCGAATCGACAGTTTAATGTGGTGACCTTTTGTAAATGTAAAGAGCACGTTACTGAACATTTTCTGAAGCAACTCGAATGTGATCGTACATCATTGCTGCTGCTCTTTGCAGTGTTGATTGTAATGTATGGTGGATCCCTTTTCGCCGGAGAACGTGAGCTGAGAGTTGATTTCCGATTTTCTGTGTTGGTTCGGTTTGGATGTACAGGACGTGTCCTCGCACTTGTACACGAGATGTGACCGTGTATTCGTTCCGTCGAGAAGTTGTCTGATAGAGATGATAAAATATGTCGTCTCATTTTCCGGTTGAGAAGTCGGCAGTTGTCTTGTACAGTACATCCTTATAATTTGCTTTTTTCTAGTATTCTCGCGATCAAAAGCTGTGCCACTTATCATGAGTGCAAAATGAGCTCAGCATCGGGCTTGGAACAGTTGGAAAATCAGTTAGAAGGCTTGATTGAAAATGTCCGACAGATCGGAATAGTTGTCAGTGATTTCCAGCCTCAAGGCCAGAATGTCCTTAATTCAAAAATGTGAGTACTGTATTTGTCTTGTATGACTCCAACTTTGACGTTCGTGTACGACAACGGTTTGTTGTTCACAGTCATGCTGTTGTCGCTGGGATGCAGGAGATTAATAAATTGAGGTCGCATCCATCAATTCAGGATATCCAAGTTCCACTGGAAGTTTTCGAGTGAGTAACATGAAAAGGTGATCGCCTTAGAGGTGCTGACTTAGATTTAATGTTCTCAGCTACATCGACGAAGGCCGAAACCCACAGTTATACACCAAAGATTGTATGGAAAAAGCTTTAAGTAAGAACGAGCAAGTGAAAGGCAAGATCGACGCTTACTCCCGGTTCAAGTCGGAGCTTCTGTCGCAATTATCGAATGTATTTCCGACCGAGATGGCTCAGTATCGTGCGATTAGAGGCGAAGAACGTGCGTCCTTGTGAAATCCTTGCGTCATTGTGAAATCCGTTTCGAAGGATGGATTATCGTTCGGAAAATCTGCGATATTCTGGAGTCGGAGTTCCAATGTTCGAGCTGTTCGTGAAGAAATCCAACGTGAAATTGCTGATCCGTGTGAAGGCGGATATTTCTGTTGGAGAATGGAAATCTCAACTTTCAGAATACTTCAATTTTCCCGTCCAGTCAACAATTTATCTCATATTCGCTGGAAGAATTCTTGTTGACTGTGAAACCCTTGTGGAAGTTGGACTGACTTCCGGTCTTACTGTTCATTGTGTGGTGAAAACTGCTCCAGCGCTCTCAGATGACAGCATAAGTGATGGAAGCACGGATCCTGCTGGATATCTGCAACCGTCTACGAGTGGCATTGAATTCTCGAAGAAACGTTCCGCACATGCTCCGAAGCGATGTCGCAGAGCGTCGAAGAAACTTGTGCATCGTGCTCTGATGTGGATTCTAAAGACCGATGAAAATGCAGTATTAGCGGCTCTCTCCAGTAAGTACACTTTTCGAATGTCTACCGTTTAGATCCCTTGTTTAGATTCACTTTTGCGAATCAGTCTCTCGCATTAAAAAATGCTTCTTTTAATAAATCAAATAAACTCGTTGACCTGAAAGTGTCCAGATCGGTTTATAGCGTGTTGTGGTCTTCAGAAACCTTATTGTGCTCTTAGAATCTGAAAAATTCACGAAACAATTTATTGGAGATTATTTGTCAATACTGTGTACCGGTAATTTTCTTTGCAATTCATTAAATTGACAGGTCGAGTTCTCAAATTCATTACTTTTCTTTTGGTGTGTTCTAAATTCGTTCTCTTTTGCAAATGAGTGTTCAGTAGGTTGAGGATTTTACGATAATCACGTGAATGGTAGCCTCTTCAGACGATCATATGAACCTGTGTGTGACGTGGAACTTGAGGACGCGCATATATATATATATATATATATCTATTTTTATAAGACTCGTACAATACTGCTCTTACTTTCGGGTGAATTTTGTACAGTACTGAATATTATTTGTATTTGTAGTCCCTTAAGGCTTTAACGATACATTTTCCTTATTTTTTATTCGTGTATTCTAGAGAGACCGGCGATCTTCGAATTGTTGGCCAATAATAATCAACTGATCAAAGCATTCCTGGATTCCGTCCAACACAGAATGCTGCTCATGAGTAAACGAGCAGCCGATTCGGAGTTTTTACGTCGTCGAGACCGAGCCCTCTCGATACTTGAGTCTACACCGAGTGGATTTGCTCTTCTGAAACGGAGATACTTGGAAATTCAAGAACCCTTTTCGATGGCCGTGCAGGAACAGCTTGATAGTGTTCATCAACCACTTTATTTTGATCGGCAACCTCCGACTGAAACTCGTCCAATGCGTGTCGAATGCTGCGTCCCGATGCCAAACCCGTGGAAGGATCCGAACAATTCGGTATTCTTCATCGAACGATTAGCGGATTATCGCAAGAGATGAAATTCATGCAATACGATGCGAAGCTACGATATCATTGCATTGTTATCTTCTAAGTTTGAAGAGTAGCGCTGCGTCCTAATCCAAGAAATGATACACTCGATTAGCACGATAACGCCACCATAGATTCATTCGGAAATCTAGACTCTCTCAGAATTTTTCGCTGAAATGGCTAAATTAAATCCTTGGTCCTTATTTTTATGATCACTGTTTTCATTCAAGAGGTGTTGAAGTATGGAATCTTTTTTGCAGGTTCTCGGCGAGAGTTCTCTCACTGAATTTTTCCAGGCGTTCATTGCTCTTCTGAGTAAGTTGAGTCTACGTCATGCTTGGATAATACACGAAAAGATGAGATTGAAGACGAAAACTTTTCGGTTCTCTGAAAGTTTATCTCATCAAGGGGCATCTTCTTCTATTGAGGGTGTAAGTTGACATTTTCTACCGCGAGTTTCTTGCGTCTTTCATTTGCTTAGTGAGAATTTCCTCTATAACAGAACATGAAGAGTCTTGAGTCGGAGCCTGCGTCCAATGAGCCGCAGTTACCAATAGTCAATCAATCTTCGCCGGATTTCGATGCATTTTCTTCGTGAGTATTTTCGGAGCTTTTTGAACAGCTTCATGAATATGATGAATATGGTATTTTTTGAATCATGAGGTTATATCGGCAATGATCAGTTCTGTTGAAAGAAAACACTGTTGATTTTTTAAAAATTTTCTATGGTGTGAACTGGATAGGGTTCGTCAACTTTCGAATCGGTAATCTAACTGCTCTTGATAGCTTTTGTGTCTCGTCTACAAAAAGGAAACACGAATGTAGGTCCACCACCATCACAAATACAGGAAATTGTTTTAGCATGCACAAAAAATACCTTGTGGATATAGCTTCAAATGCGAGGTGCGTTTAAAATTTGTGTGATGGCTTTTTCATGAGCGGACGATATTCTTGAGGAAACCCGATGTTTTCCTGACGGTACTCTGATACATTCAAATTATTTCTTCAGCCAATATTCATCGCACTTTCGTTAGGACGGTTAGGCAGTATTTAAATTTACAGGTTCTCACGTATGTCCCATTGATTGTAGGAAGGATAGTGAAACTGCGTCGATTGCCTTGGAAAGTCAATACGGAGCGCAGTTGAATCAGATGCTGTCGATGGGATTTGGAAACCGCGAAGAGAATCTTCAAGCTCTTGGAGAGATGTGTGGAAACGTAGAAGCCGCAGTCGCACATCTTGCAGTGAAAACTTCGTGCAAAGAGAAGAACGGTGGTTCGCAAAGCTGATCGTTCCTGGAATCTTGATTTACTGTTTTGTTTGATAATCAGATAATAAGCTTTTTTGTGTCGCTTGTCGCTTCACGTGAACTTCTGGTCATCTGGAAAAGCGTCTGATTTGAAATCTGAATTTCATCCCTTCAAGTTTTTTGCGCCAACCTTGTGACTTTCTCTGTGGAATTCGCGAAAACTTTTTTTCATTCGATGTTTTTTTTTCATCAATTAATAGCTGAAGTTTCATTGCATGTTTTCGGTGGTTTATATCCTAAGAAGTTAGTTTCGCGTATTTCATAACTTTGTGGGTGTATCCGAAAGTCTGACGAAAGATCTTGATTAGTCGAGAAAGCACTGGCCTTCGAAAATATGCCCGAGTTAAAACTTTTTCGTTTTGCCAGCTTGGGATTGGGTTTAGTTCCAAGCCTCGGGATTCTTTTTGAAGTTTTGCTGAATATCGAATGATGAAAGATGTTTATACGAGCGTATTTGTTTCTGTAAAATCACAGTGGTATGTGTTACTTCATCCTTTTCATTTTCCTTGTAGGTTCAGCTCAGTTTTAGTTCTTCACCGATGCAGTTTCTCGCACTTCATTTCTGAACTCCCATATATGAAAATGTCTTGGCGATTGATCTTTCAAATCTAATTTTGAAACTTTATTCCGAAATCATTTCGCAACATCTGGTGGCCTACATCTAAGAAATCTAAAACCAGAGTTCAGTGTCAGCTTTCGTTGCAAATACTGTATGAGCAGCAGCACTTTTACAGATTTGACACGGATGTGCTTATTTGGTTTACATGTACATTGTTGGCTTTTCAAGGAATGTGAACGTTTTCAAATTATACGAGCATTGAAGTAGTTTGAGAGCTCGTTGTTAGATTAGCTTGGTTAGTATTTCAGACTTGAACTTCTCGAACTCCCTGCGCAGATTAGTTTCGTATTGCAAGGCAATTAACGGTGTATCTCCAATTTACTGGATTTTTCCCAATTGAATGCTTGAAAAAAAGCAGAATAGATTCTGTGGTTTCTCGTATTTTCGTAAATGCTGTCGAAGTATTTTCTCTGGCCTTGACCATTCAAGTTTTCGGAGTATCTGTTCTTCGACTTCATGAGTTTTAAAACTGAGTTGACCCTTGATATTGCTTGAAGGTTACATGAACTAGTTCTGTATGTGGTTTGAATAATTTCTTGACATATTTGTTACAGATGGGCCAGAAATGGCTTTTAGCGACCGTTTGTTGGTCTTCTGCTTCCTTATTCACCTCGTTCTTCGATGGCACCCCGACGCAAATAGCGTTTTTATGCCTCGCGATTCTCGCCATTGTCCTGCTTCGCGGTTTTAAAGACCCGGATATTTTCGGCGTTGTTTGGCGGGCAGTGTTGATCGGGGTCGGAACAGGCATTGGACTAGTTCTTGTCGGACACCGGAATAATCCGAATGTTCAGCAATTCGGTGTTCACCTCGTGCTCGTTTCGTGTTTTCATGTGTCCGAGTTCGTCTTCACGAGTTTTGTGGCCGGGCCCGAGGATGAAATTTCGACGAACTCGTTTTTGCTCAACCACAGCGTCGAGTATGGAATTGCATCAGTTGCGGCATTGGTTGAGTTTGTGTTGGAGTTGTATGTTATACCAGGTGTGTTCTGTTTTTTGTTTGAAGAACAATTTCTTCGCAATCGTTTTGTCACTGGAAACTTTTGTTACGAAAATGAGTCAACGTGTGCTCCCAGTTCTGTAGATTATCCTGTAGATGCGGATGAATCTTTTGAAATTGGTAATTGAGCTGCGACACCTAAAATCCTTTTTTCTGCCTTGAGATAAATGATTCTTCTTTTTTTTTAACCTCTCGCGATATTCAAGACAATTCGCGATATTTCTTCGGCATTTCATCACGTAACCCTTTTTTGTTGTTGTACAGGTGTATTTTTAAATTAAAAAAAGAACCTTTTCGTTTGTCCGAGTATTGCTTGGATAAATTTGGTTTGATTTCATGATCGTCTTTTTTTTATCCTCTTTAGCTTGGAAGGTGAACGACTTCTGTCTGATGCTGGGCTTATGCATGTGTCTCGCTGGGGAAACTGTACGAAAGCTAGCGATTGTCACCGCTGGCTCCAACTTCAATCACATTGTTCAAACCGATAAGAAAGTCGGACATGAGCTGATAACATCGGGGATTTACGGACTGTGTAGGCATCCCAGCTATTTGGGATGGTATTTATGGGCTCTTGGAACCCAGGTAATTGATTTTTCCGCTTCCTTCTGTGGAGATTACATTTTTCTTTTCATTTTATATTTTTTCTGGTCATTTCACGCCGATGCGTGACGTACCATATATAATGAAGTACCACGCGCCCTTGCGTGAGAGGTGCACCTGATTTTCTGGTCCTAACATTTGGATAGAATCATATCCCCGAAGGATGATGCGCACCCTATCTGCAATGAAAGAGAAGGGCAAAGTTTTGAAAACAAAATGCATCAAGATCAAAATTTTAAATTCACTTGACCCCAAATTGTTTCAATTTTGTATTGTTTTTTTTTTGAAAAATGAAAATAATTCTTTGTTGAAATTTGCGGAACATTTTCTGTTAGGTCAAGTATCACGAGCATCCGAACTTGAAAAATTTTTTATAAAATAGTGCACTGTACCCACTTATGAACATGCACCCTTTTTTTCCACGTGTTCAAAGCAATGTTGCATGTGGTACTCTTGAGTGAATACGATATCTTCCTCGCACACCGGATAGGTGCAGCCTATGTAACTAACCAATGCGAGCAATTTAACAAAATGTTCACAATGCCTTCTGTGATTGGAACGTATCAAAATTGAGACACCTATTCCAAGTTGATTAAAAAAAGTAGGATGGAACGTCAGGTGTTTGTCAAGGGCTGTTTCCCGCCAAATTGGTTTTGATAAATTAGGGTTCACTTGAGGTGAAGAGGGCTTTTTTAAGCGTCTATCCTTGAGAAAAAAATTACGAAGGATACTCAAGCATCCAACGTGCTACTTTCCACTTCTGGATTTTAACTATTAACTGCTGGATACAGTAGAATCTCGTTACAAAGAAGAATTCGGGATTTTGAATAGCTTCATCATAAACAAACCTTTGTTAAAACGAAATTGCAATAACTTCGTATCTACAGTACATGGACTGAAAAAAACAAATTCGTTGTCAGCACTAGTTCGTTATAACGAGATTCTGCTGTAAGTTAACCTCAGTAATTTGGATGAAACAAAGCATAATTATCTCTCGAAATAGTTGAAAAATAATTACGTATCTTATTTTCAGGTCGTTCTCATGAACCCACTTTGTTTCCTGGCGTACGCACTGATCTCTTGGAGGTTCTTCAGAAGCCGGATAGAATGTGAAGAAGTTTCTCTTCTTTACTTCTTCGGAAGACGATACCGAGAATACCAAAACCGCGTTTGGTCGGGAATTCCGTACGTGTCTGGTTACGTCGGGCCACATCCATTGGTCGACGATGACTTCCGCATGTGATTCTGATTCAACAAAAGACTTTGTTTTTTTTTTTAGCACAATAAGTGATTTTGTATTTCGTCCATTCTGGCTCGGTGAAGGCAAATTCATCATGCTCCCAATGTGCTTTGAAAAGTGTTCAATTGTGCTTCGTTTGTTTGTCTTCCTTCGCGGAGGATTTTTTAAAATTGAAAATCTCGTCCTCTACTGAAATCAGGGTTCGTGGGAGTTTTCAGATTCAGGGGAAGAGTTCTTACTTTGCCGCGCGAATGAGAAGTGTTCAAGTATCGTTGGTATTATGACTTATGGAAGTCTATAGCCTTTTTTATTTTTGTTTTCGAACCTATCACCGCATTTAAGTGAATGCAAGACGCCGAAGATTGTAAATGCACTTCCTTTCTCCCGCTTCAGATTTTAAGAAAATTTTTCTTCTGGTCTGTGGCGCTCTTAATCCATGCCGTATGTTGGATGCGTCATTCAGCAATTTGTATAGAAATCCCAATTTCTGATTCATGTTAAACCTTCTCAAACACTGGTTCATTGCTCACGGAAACCGTACGTAATTGCTGATTTTAAGCTATGTTCTGAAGAACTGAACAGTTGTGGAGCTATTTATAGCAGTGACCTTTTCCTCCAACCCATGCACTGGCAGATGAGCGTGTTCATCCAAGATAAATTCCTGAGTGCTGGGCTTTTTAAAGAAAGTAATGCATCTTGAATTAAAGCTAATTTAGTCATTAATTCTCGATGATCTTAATTGTGAGACATATCCTTGCAATTGCAAGGATACTTTCTGTTAGCAGTTTTAATGGGTAGATTGCTGATTTAATATGATGTGAAGTCCATATTCATTCTCCCGAAACGGTCCTCTTCTCCTGATTCACTCCGCTTCTTAGACAACGACTTCAAGTCTCAATTTTCCGATCTTTAAAAAATCCTGTAATTTTTCTTCAGACGGTTGCGGGAGTGTTGAGAAAAATTCGACGTGTGTGAGCATGGCTCGAAGGTCGCGTTCGTTCGACAGCGATTTGTCGGACGAAAGTCCGCCGCCGCGAAGAAGCAGCCGGAAGCGATCCAGAATGGACCTGGGCAGGGATCGTTCGCCGTACTCTCCGCCGCCGCGAAGTTATCGGTCGCCGCATGAGGAAGACTTTTACGCTGGTCCTTCGTCTCGCGGCACTTACCGGGCGTTGTGCGTGACTCATATTGATGAAAAGGTTTGTACTAGTCTGAGATTATTTTTTCTGTAGCATGCCAGTATCGAGTCTGCCGCCAATTTTTTCATCCGTTAATGTTTAGGTATTAATTTTGAAGGAATTTTATTATTGGCTTGAACAAAATGTGTTCAGCAAATTTGTGTTTGTAAATCAATTTCTCCGACGTCTATAATGATTTACGAGGTTTTATGATTTTAAATTTTGAGTGTGCTGCAATGCCCATTACAAAGCAATTCTGCATGTCCTTGTTCATGAAATCAAGACTAAATTATTGCGGATGATTAAAAATGGTCACAGAATAAGTACAAGTACGGTATGTACCAGAGGTCTAAAAAATTCTTTCGGAATAAAAATTGAAACGGGATACGATTGAGCTGAAAAACAATTGCATTATTGTTTAGAAAAAAAAATTTCTTTGGTACTGTATAAGGAAAAATAAATTCAGCCCTTTGCGACATATTTTTCAGAAAATTGTTGCTAAAGTTAAAGCTGCATTTGCCGAGGACAGGATAAACTTGGCTACACGAAAAATCTGCAAAATGGGCGCTTCATCTTTAGAGTGAAGAGCGGAAATCTGCCAGGCTGACTTTTGCAGAAAAATTTCCAAAAAATGTGTAACAGCGCTGATAACTCGATTTAGACACGCAAGTTGTCGAAGTTATTTTTAATTTTTGGTGAATCTTCTTTCAGGTATCGGACGAAATTTTGAAAGACGCGTTGTACAAGGAGTTCCGGCGCTTCGGCGATGTCACCATACGAGTTATGCATGAACCTGACGAGCGAATCGCATACATCACCTACAAATCATCGGACGATGCGCATTACGCGAGGAAGAACAAGCCTAGGATAATGTTCTACAACAAACCCATCGTCGTGCAACCGGTTTACGAGTCTACTTCAGCTTCGTATCCGAGGCCCAGTAGCAGGGCTTATTCTCCGCTTCCGTACGACAGCCGTGCTCCTCCAAGTTATGATGGGAGAGGTGGCCCGCCACCGTCTGTGCCTCCTGTCGATCCTTACCGTTATCCGCCTTCAGGTAATGCATATTTGAAAATGTTAAAGTGAAAATAGATCCTGACAGGGAACTGGACCAAGAGTGAAACCAATGAACTCAGTTGAGGTTGTCCTTGTTGGATTTTTCCCCGTATTGCTTCGAAAATGTCTCGAGATACGGACATTTTTCCAACTTTTCCAGGAGAATTGCAAAGTTTTATTTTTGTAAATTTTGATATTTCTTGAACGAATTGAGCTATTTATATCCGCAAAAATTTAGAATAAATTTAATTCCAGAATTTCTCAAATTCATGAGACAATACAAAGCAAGCTAGTTTTGTGCATCTTTTTTCAAAGCTTTTCTATCATCCGTGCGTAGTGTAGCAAGATTTTTTCTTTGCTTTTTGAGCTTCATCTGATGCCAGAAGTTCAGATTCTGTGGGGTTTTCTTCTGAACAGTCATTTTCTGTACAGTATTTTGAAGTTCAGAAACAAATTATTAAATTTTTGGGGACTTCATCCCTAATTTTTCATGAACATATGTTCCTAGAATCCGACATACGGACGCTCTGAGATACGGACAAGATCGCACCAATGACGTCCGCATCTTCTGGGCCTCCACTGTATTTTCCTCTTTTCGAAAAACAGTATTACTTCAATACCTTTGAATTTTTCTGACTCGAGTTCGTGGAATTTAGGTATTTTTTAAATATTGTTCCGGTTATTTTTGCAGTTTTTGCTTCTATCCTCGGGCAATTTGATTATGGGGCGTATCTTTTTTACCTTCGTTAGCGTCGCATACGGTAATAATTTTAATCGGATGTTTTTGTATCCTAGCTTATCCGTACGAAAGTGGATACAGACCACCGCCGCCGATGCCTGGCGGAGGAAGATTTCCTCCGCCGATGGTGGGTCGTTTCCCTCCTCCACCAGGCTCGTTGATCCCACCTGGTCCTTTGGGTGGTCCTGGACTTCCTCCGACGCAAAGACGCTCACTCAACAAGAAGGACCGGTTTCCGAACTATCTGCAACATTTGGCCCCAGAAGAAGATCCGTTGGCAACAAGAACTTTGTTTGCGGGGAACTTGGATGTGAGTTGTCCCTGATGCTCGACGTTTTCGGCCCCCTTCTTTTATGTAAATTTTATTTTGAGTGACGAAAATTGGAAAAAAGTTATTTTTTTTCGTGCCGCAAATGGAGTAAACTTACAGGGGTGCCCAACTCAAAAGTGGTGGCGAGCGACATGGCAAGGACTTCGCTGGCCACACTGAAAAATTTTGGATTATGATCTTTTTTTTTAAATCAGGTGGAGGGGTTAAAAAAATGTACGAATTCTGCCTTTTTTCAATACAGTACCAGCTACCATGCCCTGAAATTTTTCAAAATTAATGTTGGATTTCCTGCCTCTGCAAACATATTTTATCTGATGTTAAGATTGGTATGATAGATACAGGAAGAAACACTCTTATTGAAATCAGCTCTATAAAACATCTAAGAAATATTTTTAGATTTTCAACCTCTAAATAGTAGGTATAGAATTAGGATATAAGTTTGCAGAATTGTAGATACATCATTTTTTTTTTATTCAGGAGTAGGATTGATCTGTAGGTCTACAAAATTAAAATCTGTGGTGGCTTCTGGGCTTACTTTCACAGGCCGTACAGGAATACTCCATGGGCCTGATCATGCCCGCGGGCCGTATCTTGGGCACCCCTGGAGTAAGAAATATGTTTTATTTACTCCAGAGGAAGGGGGTATACCGAAGTTCTGGTGGTTCTTGTATACTTTTTGTTTCTCTGAAGCTTGAGAGCGGAGAGCTGATTTTTTTACATTTCGAAACTTGGTTACTTTTTAGGTTTAGGAATAATTTATCTTCTATGTAATAGCTTTGAAGTTGGTGCAATTATGGAGTATCACTATTGATAAAGTCTGTCCAATTTATGGGTTGAACGTGTTTCTTCGTTTTTGTCTCGATTGGATGCACTCGCTGAAGTTATTGGGGAAATACTGATATGGTGTTGAAAAGATCGAATGATTGCAATCCTCTTCCTTTCCACCACAGGTGAGCATTAGCGACGACGAAGTCCGACGTATTTTCGGCAGATACGGTAAGCTGGAGGACGTGGATATCAAAAGACCTCCACCGGATACCGGCAACGCGTACGCCTTTCTACGCTACGAAAACTTGGACATGGCACACCAGGCGAAAATCAGTCTCTCTGGTCAATACATCGGCAAGTTTTTGTGCAAAATCGGCTACGGAAAGCCCGTGCCGACGGTGAAAGTTTGGGTTGGCGGGTTGGGTGACTGGTGCACTCAGCAACTTTTGGAGAGTGAGTTTGACCGGTTTGGAGCGATCAAAGAACTGCAGTACGAACCTGGAGCCACGTCGGCGGCGATCACTTACGACTCTATCGAGGCCGCTAAAGCAGCCGTGGCGGCCATGCGTGGGTTCGCCCTGGGTGGTTCGCAGAATAAGATCAGGATCGATTATTTGCACGTGGATGGACAAAGTGATCCGGCGTCCGGGAAGTCTGGATCGACGAGCAACGGCGGCAAGTCCGAGGGTCGGTCTCAGGTTCCGCCGCCGCCTGGGGAAGAAGCTGGAGGAGGAGATTATGAACCCGTTGGCAGGTTCGTTTTGTTTGGGCTTCATATTTTTTCTCTCTCCTTTTTCTTCTTGTTTGAATGTCAGTCATACGACGGGTTTAGGTTTCAAGTAGAGGCAGGATAATTCATTCCCCTTGTCTTATATTCGCATATTTATGAAATCCGCGTAACAATGCGTCTAAGTTAGGAAATCTTCCTGTTCACTGCCCACAAAATGATTCAGCGCTTCTTTTTTTCGCTGCTTGTGGAATAAAAGTTGAAAATAATCATGAAAATGATCAGCTTTTAGCACGTCAAGATGCATGAGTCATTTACTTGAGAGAGGACGAGTTTTTTAGCGTTGTATGACGCTATTTTTTCCTGATCTGGGGAAAACTTGAATTTATTCGGAAATTTTGGGTCCCTGGAAAGTCAGAACAACAGGAAAGTAAGTGGGTGCTTGTATTCGCCTATTAATGGTATAGAATTATAATTTTGTGCACGACAAATCTACGGGGGTGTTCGTATTTTCGTGAATACGGTATTTCAAGTTGCTGAGCAGGATCTAGCAAAACACAACGACGCAACAACCATCGAATAAAATATCGAAGGCGAGGACTTTTTTGGTAAGGTTTGGAATTCAAGCGAGAGCTGGCGGAAGGGAGAAAATTCGTTAACATTGGAAGATTCGCCTTTTCTCTTGATGATGGTTTTACAAGCATGAAGGAATCGAATTGAACACAGTTCCTCCGAAGTCCTGTGGGTCAACATGAGAAGCGTTAGTCTTAAGTTTGGTTGTTCGTCCTGGCCTGTTTCTGAACTTGCTCTTTTGACACCTGCTCTTGAATGAGCTCTTTTGGGTGCGTATCGCCGGGTCTCGCGATGCTTTTTTTTTCGGGAGTCAGAAAACCGCATGACAACATGATACAGGTGGACTCCCACTACAATTATCTCGTCTACAACGATATTCTTTGTATTACGAATTGTTTTTAGGTCCCGTGGGGTTCACTCCCCATGTTATCGGGGTTCTCTACAATTAAATTCTTTTTACAACGCATTTTTTTCTGGTTCCTGGAATTTCGTTGTAAGGAAATCCCAACTGTATTCTGATCTTCCGAAGCACCTGCTTTTTTATTTTTTATTTATTTTTCAACTACTACATGGAACAGTTTTTCAGCTTGAAATTGAATTGTTTAGGGATTCCGGAGTGCCGCGTGGAGGTGGTCACATGCGCGGGAGAGGGATGGGTCGTGGACGCGGTTTGGGATTCCCACCGCGTCCCATGGGTGGGTATCGTCCGCCACCGGTGCCCCCGATGTACGATCCTTATGGCATCCCATCGCACCGTCCTCCGGGCCCGCCGCCGCCACCGCATCTGGTCCCTCCGCCGATGCATGGCCCGCCACCGGCCGGCCCGCCGCCGCACCATCGCCATTTGCCGCCTCCGCCGCCGCATTCCATGCGTGCGCACACGCCGCCCGAAGTGGAATACGACCACTTGCCGAGATCGTATCGTCCGCGAAGTCCGTATAGCCCGCCTAGGGGATGGTCCATGTCCCCGCCACCGCCGTCGATTCATCATCACCACTCCCGACGCCCGAGAAGTCCGCCGCCGATTCCGAGAGGCCCGGAACGCGTGGACGACCTGAGAATCGCCGTGGATGTCGAACGGGTCTTGCCCGTCTGCTGGGAAGGAGGAATTGTGTTGAAAAACTCGATTTTTGCCACGAAATTGCACATGGTGCGCGGTGAGCGTGGCGCTGTTCGTGGGCTTGATCAAGTGAGTTTCTCAGTTCACGATCAATGTGACATGATAATTGTGATGATTGTTTTCGGATGGGAGTAGTATCACTGAGTTTCCGGTCTCAAGAATACTGAAGAGACGTTCTCCGTAACGTTGGAGACGCCAAGTGTAAAGTAACGTATTCAAAGACGCTAAAAATTTCAGTTTTTTAATGCTATTCTGACGCTTTTGGTTGACAGGCTTGCTTTTGGCAAAGAAATGACCAAGATTGACGTTTTGCGTCCCCCTTCTATGTTTTCCCCCATAGCCTAATATAGTATGCCAAGAAGCTCGCTCGTTGAAAAGCTTGCTCAGTGTACAAGGAAGCCAATTAGTTTTTTCAACATTTTAAGATAATGGTACACTATCATGTGTGCATACTGGGAAGCATTTTTGGGATTTAATGTTCATCTAAAAACCTATGTGTGATTTAAACAATTCTTGAAAATTGTAAAGGTGCTGTTCTTCTTTTGAAACAGTTACCGTTGTGTTTGTTGGAACAAATCTTTCCTGCCATGACTTGTTTGTCAAAAGTTACTGGAAGTTTCTAAACTAACACCGAACAAGAGCAAGACGAATATATCAAGCTTTTACAATTTTTCAGGTTATGAAAATTGCCCAGCGACTGCGACTGGACCCGACGAAACTCGATGACGTTAGACGCCGCCTGAGTATGAGCCCAGGCCATGCGGTGTTCATCGGCTTGTCCACGTCAACGCCGGCGCCGCCTCAGGACGATCCATCCATTATCGAGCGTCCGCTCAAGCACCTCGTGGGCTATCTGAAGCAAAAGGACGCCGCCGGGGTGGTCTCTTTGCAGACCCCGAGTGGTATCCCAACGGGAGTCGTTTATGCTTTCCCACCTTGTAGGTTCTCGTTCGAGTTGCTGCGCGTATCGTCTCCGCATCTTATCGAGGACGATGACGTGGAAGACCACGTCGTGGTGGTCATGGTGGCTGGGTCTATGTGAGGTCATCGACACGGTATGGACAGTGAAATCGTTGAAAGAGGAGTAGTGTTGAATTCGATATGATTTCATGCTCCTGTTGAGTTCGAGTGACGGAAGGTGGTTTTTCCTTCTCCGAAGCGGGATATGGTGTAAGCAAAACATCCATAGTGCCTCGTGATAAGGTGTGTTTGAGGCAACCTAAGGAGCGCTCGAATGCGCTTAGATATGTATGATCAAGTCCTTCGATTGCTTTGTAGAATGTTAAAGTTTAGATTTGAAGTGCTAATTTCCTCAGTTCGTCCCCGAGTGTATAAACCCGCAGTGTAATGCTCTCACTCATGTGAAATCCGGACAACAAAATGCTTTCCAGTTTATTCATATTTACGCGGTTTCAGGCTGCATGCGACTATACACTTCGATTGAGTGGAAGAAAAGGGTATAGGACGCTATAAATTCGTAAAGTTTAAGACATTTACGGTTTATATAATGGGAAAATCTGCCAAATTTCATGAAATTATCTCGAAGTTCTTTTTTATGCAGTATGCATATTAAGTATCTTATCTCGACTGTAGTGAGCACCCTAGACCAGAGCGCCAGACGTCTCAAAAACGCAGCCTGTACCTGATGATCTTAAGGACACTTCCGCGAATAGTTCGAGTTCTACCTATCGTCGTATTATCGTATATCTCGACTTCAGGCAGCGCCTCTGTTTTTTGGGTATGTTTTCGGATTAGAAAAAGTGCAGCCTCAAATTGCGTGAATGTAATATGAACATGGTGTGCCCCGAAGATGAGTTTTCCCCGAATAATTGGGCAGCATCTTTCAGTTAGACGGACCTAACCCCTATATCTCCATTTGGTGATGTGGTGTCATTCTGTGTGCAGTGGTTCTGGATTTAATTTTATTTCTGATTTGGTACTTGTACAGTACACTTCATCACAATTTTACGAATATGGATTGTTCTGTGCAAATGCTTTTCAACGTCTATTGCCAAACGCGCGCGAATTTACCCTGCATTATTGATTGAAATGAACGTATTTAGGCGTCCTGATGTTTCTTATGGGAATCAAAAGCTAAAAAGTTGCCTAGAATTTAGAAGTGATCCAAGCCGAAGTTCGTTTGGTCAGATAGAGGCGTAAGTAAAGCTTAACTAGCCCCGAGTGCCTAACTTGTGTTGAATAAGATTATAAGAATATTGCAGTTTTAACTCGAGCGTGTGTCAAGTGTTTGAGTAACTCTTTTCTTTTTTCTCGTGTTGGGAGTTCGTTCTGTGGGAAATGGTTCGCGTGCGCTGACAGACTTCGTGTAGAGTGAAATCGACCGAGCGAGCTTGTGTTTTGTTGCATATTTGCTTATTTCTCCGATCTGAAAGTCTTCAGGAGTTGCGATTCTGAAGGATTTTATGATTTTGCAAGTTATCTGTGGCTCCGGCGTTGCGAACAACCAATTGTTGCGAGCGTGGACGTCGAGTGGTTTTGCTGTAGGAAAATTATTAAGGAAGTTCCCGCTGCGTTTTCGAATTTTTGTTCCGTTCACAGCGAAGTTGTGGCACTTCACGCCCTCAATTTTCTGGGAGAGTTATGTGACTTAGTGTTGCTTCCAAGACGAGAAAGTGTGCATCTTTGGGCGTGACCCTAGTTTCCATTTAGACAGGTTTCAGAGGTCATGTATGGTTCCAGTTTTCTCTCTTTTATTTTCTTGTAAGATAGTGTGATTTTTTTTTAGTGCTCGTGAGATGGGTTCAATAGGCTCTTGCAGATGTTTACTGTGCAGGGAGTGTTGGCCCAATTTTTTGTGAAACTGTTCTCCCGTCTCATATCCTTTTTTTTAGTGTAAGTCGTGTCACCTGGTTTTTTTTCTGGTGTGAGTGTTGACTGAATTGCTGGCTTTTGTTCATTTTTTTATAAATTGTCGTTGTGTGAGTTAAAACGATATCTTGAACGAACAGCGTGGAGTTCACGGAATTGAGAGCGTGTTAAATGGCGTGGTGCGTAAGTGCACGAGTTATACGGTGGGCTTTTAACGGATTGTGAATAAAATGTATCTATTACGCTAGTGTTCTCTCCTGGTCTTGAAACTATGAAAATCGTCCGCGATGCCTCGAGCCTCTCGTGAAGTTACTCTTCAGCAGTGGTGCGACAAGGCTGCTTGCGAATGGCTGTGTTCGGTAAATCGCAAGATTGATGCCAATGAGTGAAACAAAGGTTTTCACGTTCCTATTGGTTGGATCATTGCTGGCGCCATGTTCGTGGCCTTGAACAGAGGCTGTGCCAAAACGTTTTTGAGGTTTTTGACGGACACGAGTCACCAGTCAGGAATCGTGAATCTTATTATGTTGTAACACGAATAATCGTGCATGGCGAATGAGCTATCAAGGTGCTCAGTGGATTGTGAGAAGTTACAACTTCAGTTCTGTGGAAATGTAAAGCATTACACAAGTGAAGATGCCGAACGTTATACGTTGAGCGACTCTCTCTAACCCACGTTAGGATTATCCACCAAATGCAACGGTTCCCTCTGCCGCATCGCTTGGAAACGGAACATTCACTAGAATTGTGTGTGAAGTCCGTGGTATTCCTGGCGAGTGCCGTTAGGTCAGCCAAATAAGAATTTTAACGTGCCACATGGTACTGTGATATCACGTGACCCAACGATGTATTTCAAATTGAGTTGAAGTGTATCAGCATGAAGTCTGGCTTTGTTTCCGAATAATCTCGTGAATTGAGTGCTCTGTATCTTGAAAGACGACTATGGCAAGCGCGTGCATTTAGATCGGAAGAATCGCTTGTAAATGATGTATAAGCTGACGGTGGAGTATTTTCCAATGGTGTGAAATTCACGAGGTCGTAGTGGGGTACATCGTGTGCCCATCACTTTCGGACTCAGATGTTTTCTGAACCGTTCCTGATATAATGCCTGGTGCTGATATGTATTGTTTCTAGACGAACATATTTGAATTCGTGAATACAGCCGTCACCATGAATCGCGGCACTCAGATAACGATGAAAAGATTATTTTCAACATCTCAAAGGATGCTCGCGGAAGCGGCAGGAGAGCATGCAGGTGACCTATGACGTTTCTATCTTCGTGTGCTCGAAATTGACATTAACTTGTTAATAGGTGGCATGGACCTTTGGAGGAAGTTGACATTCTTCGGTGCTTTCCCAGTCATTGCTCTTTGTGCTGTTAAAACTTATTTGGACGTCACTCAGCACCCGCACGAACCTCCGGAGTTCATCAAGTATGATCATCTCAGAATCAGGACTAAGGTTCGTGTTCCGATTCAGATTTATGATTTCCCCGCATGTAATAATAAATCGTTTCTCGTGCAGCGATTCCCGTGGGGTGATGGAAATCATTCTTTCTTTCACAACCCACACGCCAACGCGCTTCCCGACGGCTATGAGCATTCTGAGGAACATCATTGAGAAGATTCATCTCGTTTTCGTAGTGAAAGCTACTGGAAGGGATTGCGCGGTTATCCAGCGTTTTAGGTGCAATGCGTGGTCATGATATTCGATTTACTTCATGTAGGTTCACTCCTTTGTCATTTCAGTTTCGGAATAAATATCTTGATGCTCGTGAAAGGCTACTTTTTCTTCCCATGAAACCTCATTGTGTTCGGGCTAAATTTCATTCGCAACATTTTCATTCTCGTATGCAGGTGTACTGGTTCGAGAAGAGATTTTTGCTATGAAGTCTTTACAGGAGTCGAAGTGGCTTCGATTGATATTCCATCTTGCTGGTTTCGTATTCTTCGCGTACGACATCTGGTATCATCTTGAATACCTGCATTACCCAGAATCCATGAAGCACATGTACACCTATGGTGGCATGTTCAAATATTTGACCGTGTGGGACCTGGTAAGAGAATTGTACCATTAGTTTTCTTCAATATGATCATGTGCGATTCCGTTGCAGTTCGTACAATGTGGATTCTACCTCGTGTGTGCGTTGTGCGATGTCAGGCCGAATCAGCATCACTCCCGGTGGGATGTCCGTTTCAAAGATTTCTTCTTCGCTGCCTTCGCATTTCCACTTGGTTTGGTACGTATTTTTAATTCAGCTTATGGAATAAAACTTTACTGTACAAGTGGGCACCATAGTATTTTGTATCAACGTGATCATGGGCTACTCAGAGCAGTGATCTGGGATAAAAAGGGCACATGTCACACGCAATGAAAAAGGAAGAATTCCAACGTTTCGAATACTTGCGACCTTTAGAGCTAAAGAAATTTATGAAACGACTAATGAGCTGCCGAATACATTGTTTAAAGCGAATTTCGTCATGTTGAGAAGAACAGTGCACAATTTCTCTGTTCGAGAGTCTGCCTGTCATATGGAGGACCCCTATCGATGTGAAGAGCATGAATAATGGAATTATTCTTTCTTCCACAGTTCGTGTCGATGATGTTCTGGTCCATTTACGCCGTGGATAGGGAGCTAATCTTGCCGTCGGCCTTCCGAACAATTTACCCGTGGTGGTTGAATCACATGGATCATTCTGCTCCTATCGCTTTTATCCTCATTGAAGCAATGACGTTACCTCATGTATTCCCGTCTCGCTGGAAGGGAATGTCTGCACTGCTGTTGCTTGCTTTAGTTTACCTTGGATGGTAAGTTGATGCACCTTTGTTAATATTGCGAAGTTGTTGAAGCGCTGAACTGCGCTCAAAAAAGGGAACAATGATACAGTTGATAGCTATACTTTACAGCGAACAGATTTCCTCGACAGTTGATCATTGTCGAAAGTTCATTGATGCGAACATCTGGATTATGCATATGAAAAGTTGCATACCAAACAATGATCACGAACTTTCGTTGGGCAGTCGGTGTGCCTTTCTAATTTCGATGAAGTTGATAGTAATGCAATTTGAGGTAGTGATCTTCTAATGAAACGTTTTCATTTGATCTGGCTGTACTGAATCCGACATCTTTGAATGCATTGATAGGAATTCGAAAAAAACATAAAAACCGTGAAAATTCTGAATCACAGCATTTTTATGTGGGTGAATTGTGACTTGCGAGGAAGAAAATTTCTGCGTAGCAAAATTTTCAAAATGAAAAATGCATGAATTTCGTAAGACATTTCAAATATTTACTGATGCCAGGAATTCATCTTTATTTTGCATTGCTACATCTGCTCTTCGGGGAAAAACGCAAGTACTGCACAGTCAACCCTTGATTTAGGACCACAAATTTGACTGGTAAAAATCCCCCTCCATCATGTTCTCGAGGAAATCCCTGATTGAGTGCCAAAAAAAGTGGAAGCTTATGTGGAAAACTTGATATAAAACTAACTGTAGTGCACACAAAATCTTGAGGAACAGCTGTTATCTTTGACTAGGTGTCATATTTTTAAAAGTCTAATCCATTCTGCTATGATACATAGTTTGAAATGAAATATGAAAAATGTACCTTGCGTAGTACAGTATTATTTATTTTGGCCTTCTCTTTTAAAACACCCTGACTGGCCTCGAAATTCTGTAAACAAGCCTATTTTTCCTATGATGTCAACCCTGAACTAGACCTCTCTTTTACACAATGCCCTCAATTTATTGCCACCCTTGCTTAGTGCCACAAATGGTGGCACTTAATTGGGGCTTGATTGTAATTTCCAGTTATTTCCTGAATTTCTTACATTAGACGCAAGTAGATTTTACAGCCAGGGAGATTGAATATTCTCTGATCCTCATTTAAAGGATACTGTACAGTATAATGTTTTGTGAAACTGTGTTTACATAACAAGAATACAGTGCTGTGCTAGCAAAGGAATTGTTCTTATACAGGGACAAGTACTGTACTCCATATTTTAAAAGATCATGTTTCGAAAACAAATGAAGATGTATATTTGCATCTGAATTTACTGTCAGTTCTACTTCTTTATATTCTTCAACCAGTCTTCGTCTTATCCCAGAGACAATAGTTGTTCTGAGAAGTAATGAGAAATTTCAAATAATGAAATATCGGAATGCGTACTTTAGTGTAGCTGAAAGGATTGTTAACGTTGTTTGTTCTCATTGCTATATACATTTTTTTCGTGTCGTGCGCAACCAATATTATGCCCAATTGAAACTCATGCATCAAAAATTTTTAGGTTCAAGTCTGGCTGAAATTCTATGTCGAAGAATGTTTGCCAGTGAGACACTTTCCTGAACAATATGGATTCTAATTGATCCCTTTTCGAGTATTGTTCATCTGCCGCTTGCTATGTAGTTCATGACATCTTATTGAGATTTAGTCGCTTCGATGTACAGTATCAGCAAGACTGCGCTTATAAAAATTTAGATGAGACGCTTCAATCTTGGCGAACAAATTATGCCTCTGTATTCTTGAAAACATTCGGTGGATGTGTAGTTCTTCCAGCAAACGAAGGCCACGATTTCGAAATCAGTGATGTATAAAATTCAAATGGTCATAATCTCGGATTACATATGACATGTATATAAACTATGGCTTACTCTTATACCCTTATCTTTTCACTTCAGGTAAAGTTTCGGGAAGCCTACACAGATTTAAATTCAACCACTTTAACTTTTTAAAACTCCATCTATATAAGAATTGGCGCTGTATTACAATTTCTCAGTACCTCAGTAATTTTTTCTAACTGACCATAAGCAACCAAAATGTGGCATCAACCTATGTAACAATTGTTCCGATCAACTTCTATTTGTGACTAACCCTGATTTTTTTGGTTTAGAAATCTGATTTTTTCTTAATTCGTAAAACAACCTGTTCATGCCTCAAAAAACCAAGCGTTCTTTCGAGTATACTCGAGTCTCCAATGTCATTTAATAGACACTGCTAAAAATTCCACTTTAACAAGTTACTTTCACCGTTATTTGTAGACACATTTGTCTGTCTAGTAGCTATTCATAGCGTTCGTAGGGCTCTTCATGCTTAGTGTTGGCATCATCCCAATAACTTGTGAACGCCGGTGCATTGGAAATCCTGGCGTTCATCAGCACTCAGCAGAGGATATTCGCTTAAAAGTTCTGGAAACTGTACGATGTGTAAATTATGACACTCTCTTTTGCTCTGGAGGCAGATTCTCTCCACACTGCTGCATGGAGGTTCAGAATAAAAATTTAAAAATAATCGATGAGCTGGGCTGCGCGTATCTGAGAAGCACGTCCGTGAAGACCGTAACAATTTCCATGGTATGAAATAATTGCTGCAGAGGAAATACCTGTAGCCCTAGAGAGCTTTCTGTAATCCTTGTTTTATAATCGCTTAATCCAACTTTTGTAATCCATATTAGGAACCGAATCAGAGGTTTGAATTTTCGGCATCTTGTTCAGATTCAAATGAATGTATTGGTGGCGCCTCCAAGTATTTTTTCGAAATTGATGCATCTAGTACTGTAGCAGGTGTTCTCATTATTGAATAATTTATTTTGTCGACGGCAATTATACGCAAATGTGGATTCTACCTCGTGTGTGCGTTGTGCGATGTCAGGCCGAATCAGCATCACTCCCGGTGGGATGTCCGTTTCAAAGATTTCTTCTTCGCTGCCTTCGCATTTCCACTTGGTTTGGTACGTATTTTTAATTCAGCTTATGGAATAAAACTTTACTGTACAAGTGGACACCATAGTATTTTGTATCAACGTGATCATGGGCTACTCAGAGCAGTGATCTGGGATAAAAAGGGCACCTGTCACACGCAATGAAAAAGGAAGAATTCCAACGTTTCGAATACTTGCGACCCTTAGAGCTAAAGAAATTTATGAAACGACTAATGAGCTGCCGAATACATTATTTAAAGCGAATTTCGTCATGTTGAGAAGAACAGTGCACAATTTCTCTGTTCGAAAGCCTGCCTGTCATATGGAGGACCCCTATCAATGTGAAGAGCATGAATAATGGAATTATTCTTTCTTCCACAGTTCGTGTCGATGATGTTCTGGTCCATTTACGCCGTGGATAGGGAGCTAATCTTGCCGTCGGCCTTCCGAACAATTTACCCGTGGTGGTTGAATCACATGGATCATTCTGCTCCTATCGCTTTTATCCTCATTGAAGCAATGACGTTACCTCATGTATTCCCGTCTCGCTGGAAGGGAATGTCTGCACTGCTGTTGCTTGCTTTAGTTTACCTTGGATGGTAAGTTGATGCACCTTTGTTAATATTGCGAAGTTGTTGAAGCGCTGAACTGCGCTCAAAAAAGGGAACAATGATACAGTTGATAGCTATACTTTACAGCGAACAGATTTCCTCGACAGTTGATCATTGTCGAAAGTTCATTGATGCAAACATCTGGATTATGCATATGAAAAGTTGCATACCAAACAATGATCACGAACTTTCGTTGGGCAGTCGGTGTGCCTTTCTAATTTCGATGTAGTTGATAGTAATGCAATTTGAGCTAGTGATCTTCTAATGAAATGTTTTCATTTGATCTGGCTGTACTGAATCCGACATCTTTGAATGCATTGATAGGAATTCGAAAAAAACATAAAAACCGTGAAAATTCTGAATCACAGCATTTTTATGTGGGTGAATTGTGACTTGCGAGGAAGAAAATTTCTGCGTAGCAAAATTTTCAAAATGAAAAATGCATGAATTTCGTAAGACATTTCAAATATTTACTGATGCCAGGAATTCATCTTTATTTTGCATTGCTACATCTGCTCTTCGGGGAAAAACGCAAGTACTGCACAGTCAACCCTTGATTTAGGACCACAAATTTGACTGGTAAAAATCCCCCTCCATCATGTTCTCGAGGAAATCCCTGATTGAGTGCCAAAAAAAGTGGAAGCTTATGTGGAAAACTTGATATAAAACTAACTGTAGTGCACACAAAATCTTGAGGAACAGCTGTTATCTTTGACTAGGTGTCATATTTTTAAAAGTCTAATCCATTCTGCTATGATACATAGTTTGAAATGAAATATGAAAAATGTACCTTGCGTAGTACAGTATTATTTATTTTGGCCTTCTCTTTTAAAACACCCTGACTGGCCTCGAAATTCTGTAAACAAGCCTATTTTTCCTATGATGTCAACCCTGAACTAGACCTCTCTTTTACACAATGCCCTCAATTTATTGCCACCCTTGCTTAGTGCCACAAATGGTGGCACTTAATTGGGGCTTGATTGTAATTTCCAGTTATTTCCTGAATTTCTTACATTAGACGCAAGTAGATTTTACAGCCAGGGAGATTGAATATTCTCTGATCCTCATTTAAAGGATACTGTACAGTATAATGTTTTGTGAAACTGTGTTTACATAACAAGAATACAGTGCTGTGCTAGCAAAGGAATTGTTCTTATACAGGGACAAGTACTGTACTCCATATTTTAAAAGATCATGTTTCGAAAACAAATGAAGATGTATATTTGCATCTGAATTTACTGTCAGTTCTACTTCTTTATATTCTTCAACCAGTCTTCGTCTTATCCCAGAGACAATAGTTGTTCTGAGAAGTAATGAGAAATTTCAAATAATGAAATATCGGAATGCGTACTTTAGTGTAGCTGAAAGGATTGTTAACGTTGTTTGTTCTCATTGCTATATACATTTTTTTCGTGTCGTGCGCAACCAATATTATGCCCAATTGAAACTCATGCATCAAAAATTTTTAGGTTCAAGTCTGGCTGAAATTCTATGTCGAAGAATGTTTGCCAGTGAGACACTTTCCTGAACAATATGGATTCTAATTGATCCCTTTTCGAGTATTGTTCATCTGCCGCTTGCTATGTAGTTCATGACATCTTATTGAGATTTAGTCGCTTCGATGTACAGTATCAGCAAGACTGCGCTTATAAAAATTTAGATGAGACGCTTCAATCTTGGCGAACAAATTATGCCTCTGTATTCTTGAAAACATTCGGTGGATGTGTAGTTCTTCCAGCAAACGAAGGCCACGATTTCGAAATCAGTGATGTATAAAATTCAAATGGTCATAATCAGCCTAATGTATACTGTACATATATTTGATACCGAATGAGAATATGGGAATAGAAAAGTGAAGTCCATTTCAAAGCCCTTCGGATGTGTCTAAATTTAAGTTGGTGAAATTGAAAAATTTTGAGGTACTATATAAGAATTGGCGCTGTATTACAATTTCTCAGTACCTCAGTAATTTTTTCTAACTGACCATAAGCAACCAAAATGTGGCATCAACCTATGTAACAATTGTTCCGATCAACTTCTATTTGTGACTAACCCTGATTTTTTTGGTTTAGATATCTGATTTTTTCTAAATTCGTAAACCAACCTGTTCTACGGAGTTTTTTGGTTCGCAAGAAAGCTCATATGAGCTCAGAGGTTACAGTAAATTATCTGTGACGATTTTTAAGGTGAAATTGTTCAATGAAAGTGGCAATAAACATCTGTGTAAACAGACAGATGTAGCTATTCATAGCGTTCGTAGGGCTCTTCATGCTTAGTGTTGGCATCATCCCAATAACTTGTGAACGCCGGTGCATTGGAAATCCTGGCGTTCATCAGCACTCAGCAGAGGATATTCGCTTAAAAGTTCTGGAAACTGTACGATGTGTAAATTATGACACTCTCTTTTGCTCTGGAGGCAGATTCTCTCCACACTGCTGCATGGAGGTTCAGAATAAAAATTTAAAAATAATCGATGAGCTGGGCTGCGCGTATCTGAGAAGCACGTCCGTGAAGACCGTAACAATTTCCATGGTATGAAATAATTGCTGCAGAGGAAATACCTGTAGCCCTAGAGAGCTTTCTGTAATCCTTGTTTTATAATCGCTTAATCCAACTTTTGTAATCCATATTAGGAACCGAATCAGAGGTTTGAATTTTCGGCATCTTGTTCAGATTCAAATGAATGTATTGGTGGCGCCTCCAAGTATTTTTTCGAAATTGATGCATCTAGTACTGTAGCAGGTGTTCTCATTATTGAATAATTTATTTTGTCGACGGCAATTATACGCAATATAATTTACTTCAAAAGTTCGAAGGGTTCCCTCAGAATCTTGGTTCTTGCAGGGAGCTTAAAATTTGGTCGGATTTCGTAGGATTTTCGGCGCGCAAATTTTTAAAAATATTGCAGCATGTTCAGTGCAGGCATTGTTCCTCTCGAGGGGACTGATTTTTCGGAACACACTCGACGGAGAATACTGTACTGTACTATTTTTAGAAACTGGTTCCTGTAAAGTCGTCCTTTTTTCAGGATACTCTATCTTGCCCTCAACTTCAATGTTTGGGTTTACCCTTTCTTGAAAGTCATGTCCTGGCCGATGAGAGGACTTTTCATCGTTCTGTCAATGTGTGTGTTCATGGGCGTGTACATGATCGGTGACTTCTTCTTGAAGCGGAGCTCAAGTGGTGAGTTCATTCATATCGTGAAGTCTTCTTTTCTTCCGAGATTACGGTATGTTCTCTATCTTTGAGTAATGCTACTCAAGTACTCATCCGCTGTTGAGAGCTACTTCGTGGGTTTTGGATTTGAAATGGTTTTGTTGATTTTGGTTGATCCCGTCAGCTCGGAGAGAGAGAGTAATTGTCGTGATTCGATGTTGGAAAAAATGTGCTATTGATCGTTGGTATCGGGTTTTCTTCTTGGTGTGTGTATGTGAGTGCCACTCGTCAACTGCTTTGTGTCCTTCAGAAGTGAGTCTGGCATCAACCTATCGTTCGCTTTCTGCTTTTCGTACGCATTCATTTTCTTTCGGTGTAAATATGTGGAATGTTGGTTGCATGTGATTTTTCTCTAGTTGACTTTTCTTATCACAGTTTTGCCTGCGTTGAAGTGGCAAGCAACTCATAATTTTTTTTTTTCATTTCATCAGCGGCATTGGAATCTGGACGACGTTCAACGTTCCTCGACTCGCCCATTTCTTCGGGGATGCGGAAGAAGCAATAAGAGTTGAACCCTGTGCATTTGCTCAGCTATTGTCTGATATCAGCCAATTTTGTCCAGTTTTGAGAATTTTGGTGACGTAATTTCTTTTTGCACCTTTCGATTCCTTGGATTGATCTCGGGTTATACATTTTATCGGAAAGGAATTTCGGGTCCGGGGCAGAGGGAAGGTTCAGCGTTTCAATCTCGTCATCAACTGTAGAAAGTTATTGACTCCAACGTTTCAAAATCGGCTTTATTTATGCTTGCGTTATTGAATAAACGCGATTGAGGGATGTAGCTCAGTTTTGCCCCTTTCAAGAAGCTCGTCATTCTCGCTCATCTTGATGAAACATATGCTTTCTATTCAGGATTTTGGTGAATAGTGCTGTAGTGTCGAATCCTGTAAAATGGGAGACAGAGATGATGATTACGAAGTTGACGAGTAAGTCAAGCTGAAACGGTGAAAAATAATTCGGATAATCATGCAATTTTTCCGCTAGGGAATCTGGCGTTTTCCTCGATGATCAAGCAGGTGATGATGTGGCGTCAATTGGTTCCGGTGCGGGCGAGGTTAGTGTTCAATTCATTCTTCCATTGAAGTTTGAAAGGAAAAATATGACCTTTTCAAATCACCCCGATCGCAGTTTTCAGACACCGCGCATGCAGAAATCAATTGTTTCGAATCCATTCTGATAATGCATAAGGGCTTCGCGCCGAAGTAATTACAGAATCTGACCTGCCGGAATTTATAGGCTTCAAAGAATAAAATTTAAGAGGGCCTGTATCAACGTCCCGAAATAACCTAAATTTTGGGTTCAATTATTTATGATCACTTCTGTATTTAATTTTTAGCAAATTTTCGCCCGCTTTAATCAAGGAATGATTGTTGTAACAATGTATTCGCTTTAATGTGAGCATATCTCTGGACTCGATTTTACTAAAATATTGAGAATCATTTCCATGTATCGATTGTTCATGAAGCCCTTCCAACGATGCAATCAACCTATGCGTTCGTTTTGTGTATTGTCAGGATGGCGAGAATGTGGCTATCTTGCCAGCATCTGAAATGACTTCAACAGCTCCCGGAAAGCGAATTACAACGCCTTGTATGACCAAGTAAGTATAATTCGTAGATTGTGACTCTAATACTGCTTCCTAATTGGAACTTTCTGTCAAGATATGAACGTGCGAGAGTTCTTGGCGCTAGAGCTCTTCAGATTGCGATGTGCGCCCCAGTCATGGTCGAATTAGATGGTGAATCTGATCCCTTGGTAATCGCCATGAAGGAATTGAAAGCCAGGAAAGTACCTCTGATCATCCGAAGGTACGTAGATACCGCTACAATATTTGCACATAATCGAATGTCTTTCGTTTGTTAGCATTCCGGATTAAACAATCATTCTACGCGTTCAGTCGGATGGAATTCGAGAGCGTGGAAATTGAAACTTATGTTCTATTCGCAGATACCTCCCAGACAACTCATATGAAGACTGGCCGATTGATGAATTGACGCTTTCAGAATGGTGAAATTGGCATTCATGTATCTTCAGCACTGCGGATTACTCCTGAAGCTTCGATTTGTATGTCCTACCGACAAAGGTCTTACTTTCACCGAAGACCACGTTAGGATTGAGTTTTTTCCATCGAGGACATGAATGAATTGAAGACAAATCTCGTGCTCTGAAGTTTTTCATGGTGTCTTTCTATGTTCTGATTTTATCCCTGGTCTGTATTAAAACATCTTTTGAAGGTATTTTTTATTTCCTCTTTGCGTGATACTGCTGAGGTCTGACGTCATGCATTTTATTCGGCTCGGTTTCCAATTTTCATTATCGAATCTGTGGATATTCCGAGTTCTGATCAGTGTCATGTTCATTATGTCGAATTCATCTTACGTCTTTTCAGAATGAGCTATTCATTGTTGTGGTTACCGGAAGAGGTGCTCGTGATTTTGTTTCAACATTGCGATGTGCAATCCCTCGGTAGGCTGTCTCAGTGCTCCAGATACTTCCGCGATTTGATTAGCAGTGATTTGGTTTGGAATCGGCGAACCAAGAGCAATCATCCGGATCGTCTGTTCGTGTCTACTAGTCCGTGGTTTAAGAAAAGGTATTGTTTTGATGGAAAAAGTGTGGACTTCGTTCATTTTCTTCAAGCTTGTTTCCTTTGAATTCGATTTAACAATACTTCCGTGATGTCTCGGAAATGTTCGATTTGAGTGACCCTGATCTTGGGGTCGGAAATTCTGGTATCTACAGTCACTTTATTTTTTAAATCGCTCATTGAGACGTTTTGTTTTGAAGATGCCTCGCTGACGTCTCGAAACCTTGTGAAAAAGTCAGAGTGGATCACAATTGGAGACACGGCAAAAGCTGTGCGAGGCACCGTGTGTCTGGTTGCCGAGGATTCGAGCTCGGAGCAGATGGAGAAGTTTGGCTTCATAACCAAAAACGTGGCCTGTACCCCGTGAACGTGGTACAATTTCTTGAATCCGGAGGAAATATGCTGGGCCTTACAGACGAACTTCCTCGCAGTGCCCTGCAGCTGAGTTTGTTCCGTGTCATGGATGACGTCGTTGTGGGTTCTTGGAGGTAGTTTTTGTCTGTACCTGTAGTTGTGAGGCTAGATAGTCAATCAAGTACAGTTGAACTTCGATCATTCTATGATTTCTGTAAAGATTTTTTTTTCAAGTCCCTGTCTGAATTCCCGTTGAAACAACGCATCTAAAACCTCCGTAACTCGAAGACTTCACCCGCCAAGCCTCTGTAACTGGAATTTTTTCAGTCCTTTTGGATATTACTACAGTATATTGACACAGGGGCAGGAAAAACAATAAAAATGTAATTTGATGTGTTTTGAAAGGAAATTCTAAAGTTATTTCCCCTTTTTTAATGTTTCCAAGGTTTTTTTTATAATTTAGCGGGCGTATCTTACAACCACTTATTTTTTGGCACACCAAGACCATGTAACGATGTGCCGGATTAATTCTAGTAAATTATGGCCTTCAACGCAAAATAGGTAAAATTCTCTCATTGCGCAGTAAATTTTTGATTGTCATTCAAAAGGTCTAACATCCATGTCCCCTTGCCTCGAACAATTCTTCACGAAATCCCCGAAACTCATGGGAGCTTTCAGTCACCCGATCAACTCATTGTGGGGCAAATCCTCTTTGCAGTGGATGCGGGGAAGAAGAAAATCAAGTGATGAATTAAAAAGACTATTGCTCACTGCGCATCACATTTTTTGTGCTTCCTATTACAGTATCAATTTTTTTAATGTGCATTCGTAAAAGTGCGGTGGCTACTTTTTTCCCCATGTCCGGTAGTTGAAAGAGACGTTCGCCACCGCAAATATTCACCGTGACCGAAAGGATTGCGTTGATTTTAAATTGTTGTACTGTACAACGTTCTTCGCAGGCCAAGTGGTGGACTCTTGATCTGGCGCCAGGAAGATGGAGAACTCATTCATGAAAATCCGTCGATTCTTGGAGGATCATTGATGCATTGCCTCGATTGTTACGGAGGGCTAATTTTTTGTGCAACTTCCGGTGGAAGAGCAAAGGTATGTGAAATTGTGGACTATCACATTTCTTCGTTGAATGCCCTGTTCGTTTCGTTCGTATCGCTAAATTGGGGATTAATTTTCTCACCGGACTTGATTCTAAAGGAAGAATACGTTGAAATAGCCGTACCCAAACTATGTCAACCTAATTTAATTTAGCCTAAATCAATGTACAGTACAGATGCAAAATTCAGCGCTTAAATGTTTCGTAACGCAGTGTATTCAGTGTTATTAACTCCGGTGACCTCTTAGTACAGTACATTACAATAATTCTGGACGTCGGGTTCAGTGGTTTTAACGCGATGATTATATTTTCGTGTCTTGTTCAATATTTATCATATCTAGTTTACATTAGTCATCAGAAATCTGTGTGTCGAAATCTTGGTAGTCGTCACGGACTCCTCTGGATGTCCGGACTTCCTGCATTAAATGACCTTCCGGTAATTGGTTGCGCTGTAAACCTTAAGTGAGGAAATAAATATTGTATAGTATGCCATAATTTCGTATCATAGAAAATTACAATAGTTTGGTTATTTTTCGAGAATAAATTAGTAGAATCTCGTTATAACGATTAATCGATTACAACGAACTAATTTTTCAGGTACATGCCCAATATTCACAATGTTGAAACAGCTCCTTTATGACGAATTTTTGGTAACAACGAAGCTGGTCCAAATGGCTTTGTTTAGACGAGATTTTACTGTAGCAGTGAGTTTATTGCGCGTTTTTATACAAGCATTCAAAGCTTATCCAAGTTTTTAAAGGTTCAAACCATTATATTTACGAATTACCTAACTTGAACTAATTTCGTACCAACAGTTTATCAACCAATTCAAATATTTTTCCCTTCGCATAAACAAATAATTTCCGCATCTATTATTCTGGTTTTCTTTGTTTGTAATTGTTCGAATAATTTAATATTTCAGTTGCTGACGCGTGTTGGAGATACTTGGCTCTCAGAACCGCTTCGACTCGAAGGAGGAGGAGTTCCATCTGCCTGCCTTTTGTCGCCGAACCTCACCGTAGGTGTCGTGCGTTCGGATTATCTTGTGAACGTCGTTGACTTGAGCACGTACGTTTTTACCAGTGCATCCCCACCAAGTGTACCAGTCCAGTTCATTTTCATGGTTGAAGCAGGCTCGTCTGCGTTGGAAAGCATGAGACGGACGCGACGATGTACACAATGCAGTCTTGGAAACCGGTGAACAGATTGGCGTGGCAGGATGAGCACACGTTCTATGATATACAAGGTCATCAGCTCGTGTTGATGGATTTGAGGTACAGTACATTAGAATCCGAATGAATGATTGAATTATTCGGAAATTTACGTTGTAAGGGTTTAGTGTAGAATTCTGCAAAATTTAAATATAGGGATGTTCCCGTCCTCCTAAGTTCGTAAGATTCTTCATGTCGAGCGTCGAATTAAGAAACATAAAACCGAGAAGGAAGAAATAGAAGTGCTGTACAGTATGTAAATGCCGCATTTGACGCATGTAACTCAAATATAAGGACCACTTTTTCCGATTTTGATCATAAAATAAAATCTCGTTACAACAACTCCCATTAGAATGCATTTTTCAATATAACACTTTCTCTCAACTCTCGACAGGAAAGACCTAGAGTACATTTTAGATTGATCTCGTTATAGCAAACTTGTTAATTATATTCTCCTGGTAGAAATTTCCTGACGAAGGCAGGCACAGTCTGAAATTTCTGATACCAAATGTGATGACTGTTTCTTGTAGCATGGATAGAAGCTGTAATCAATGACTAACCTGCTTCGTTGGACATCATCCTCCCAGAATGAGGAGATTTTCACGTGATCCTCCCATAATGAAGAGATTGGTGCAACTGTTCGAATGTTTAATCAAAGCTATTTTTTCCTGAAGATCACTCAGTTTTTCAAATATTAATAGGGAATCTGAGAATGCCAGAAAATCAAGATCTAAAGGTTGTAGGCAGTTCTGATGTGAATATTATTTCCAGTTATCAATTTTGAAAATCTCATAACAAATTATTCGGTACAGTGTAACAAACTTCTTTTGAAGTGCCCACAAGTTTGTTGTAACGAGATTTTACTGAAGTGCGTCTTGGATTTGCATGGAAAATGATGTTGGATAAAGATGTTTACATCTTCTGAGCTGGTCAGATTACCTTATTTTTAATCTGAGCGATGTACAAGATTATCGCATGAACTAAAATGGAGAAAAATTTCCATCTTGGAAATAGAAAAAGTTGGGAAGCATCCATAACATTTTTCGCTGCGTAATACTGTGCAACTCGTTTTTCTCTGTTGAAATTGATGTCGTTCATCTTCTGGTTTCTTCAGAACCTGCAAAGGAATTAAAAGTTGGATGAAAGAGTACGAAAGACCGGGCTGTTGCATTGATGCTGACCGTGGAAATTTGATAGTTACTGGATCTCTGGACAATGGTTTGGTGTCTTTGTGGGACAGACGTTGTTGTCGGGAACAAGTCACGGTTAGTTCTCTACAACGCCTGAATCTTTTTATTTTATGCGTAATCGAAAACTTTTTTTTTCATCAATTAAGCAAATCCATGTTGATGGCTTTGAGTGGGTGAGCAGAGTTTCGTTCAGTCAAGATTTGCTTTACATCGGAAACGAAAGTTCAATGGAGATCGTGGATTTTTACGGCTTCCAGAAGCGTTGGGACGAATCTATCACCAAAAAAACTCTTTCCTATCGGATCAGGAAGTATTGCGGCGTTTGTTGACAGTTCATCTTTCCGTCTCTTACGTGGCGCGTGTGTTAATTTTTCGTCATTTCAAGTTTTGTTAATGTTTTCCAAAGTTTGTAGTTTATCGATGGAAACAACGCACAATATTTTTTTTTTTTATACCGTGGAAAGAAATTTTCGGCATTCTTAATTGTGTAGAGCAAAAAGTGACGGTTTTGAACGGACAGTTTTTTTTATTGTGAATATGCATTCGAGCTTAGGAGACCTGGAGAATTTTAACGATTCTCGTCTTCAATGGATCATGGGAGGGCTTAAAGATGTACAAAACTGCCGTCGGTTTTCTTTTATATTTTTTTACTTGTAGTCATTTGAAATATTTCTTCGAAAGAGGACGCATTGGGGCTTGATTGATTGATTTTTCGGAAAAAGACATCGGTTGTGAAACCTTCATCATATTGTTGAAAGTAAATAAAATGGAAGGTCTGAGGTTGTGTGCATTTGTGAGGAAGGACGCATTCCGAAATGCGTTTAATAGCATTTTTGTGGCATAAGGTTTTTTTTCGAATACGTGTGCCATTTCGCAAAATTTAAAATACGAGCTTGCAGCCTCCGAATCGTCTCTCAGGAAATCGCGATGAGTCTTCGTTCTCGGAAAGTATTTCGAACGAATGGATCCAACGAAAGTGAATTATTTGTGTATTCAACCGTGTTTATAGATATTTTTGGTTACCGAGGTATTTTGGAAAGAAAAGTACGTATGTATTAATGTTTCGTCCTGGTCAGAATTCATTTTTTTTCCTAGTCGCGAACAAAGTGCAAGCATATGTTTGATATTGTTTTCCTCCTCCCAATAGAATGAGTCAGCAGTTGCTGAATGAGGCCCACATATTGCAGTTGCCGGTTGAACTGATCCTGTGCATATTGGAGTATTGTAGCGTTCGAAGTCTCGGTCGTCTCGCGCAGTCTTGCAAGTTTTTCCAAGATTTATTAGCCACTGATGAAATCTGGCTCCGCCGGGCTAAAAGATTCGGAGGATTCCTTTTCCAGTCGGTTAATCCGATTTTCACGAGAAGGTTGGTCTAAATCTTCTCTTCAATTGCAGAAATCGATTGATGAAAAAGCTTAGTGGCCATTTTCCGATAACCAATTTACTAACACTTGAAATGCGTTAAATAATTCGTTGACGAAGGCTTCCATCTAGTTTTTGCATTGGATAAAATCGTTTTCGAAAATTTTTCACTCATAGCGTGAAAATAGTTCATCAAAAATTCTCATTTACATTGAAAGCAGAACCAGGCGGCCACTCCAATTTTCTGAATCATCGAACTATTCAGAAATTGAAATACTATGTGTAGTTCAGCCTCCGAATCGTCTTTCGAACCTGTCATTTTTCGAACCTACGTGATATTTTTCGAGCCTTTTCAAATTTTTCGACTCAAACGAAGCTAAAATCAAAATCAAAGAGCATCCAAACCGTTTATGCTTAGGAAAAATTTTGGATTGATTTGTTGAGCAGATGAAAAAATTTTCCTTATTAATGAAGTTGTAATAGTAATTTTTAATTGGATACTTTTTTCTTTATCCGAAAATCAAAAAAATTTGAATTTGCAGCAATTTCTATGGAATACCTGTGTCGAATTTGAAAACGGATAATGAAGCTGATTGGAATGGATAAAAATAGAATTTGTATGATACTTCGGCTGTTGTCGAATGATTCTTTCATCGATAAGTTAGAAATTCTATTCCATCGCATTTGCATAAATGTTGCACCGGTTTGGAAATTTCAAGCCAAATTTTATGATCTGTAGCAGCTTGAATTTGAGTAACGAACTTCATCTGTAGACATACAGTATACTGAAGTACCCGAAGTTAAATTAAGTTGATGTCCATCGGATACGTTTTTCAAAACGAAAGGAGTTCTTTCATGAAATTCTTTTTTTTCTAAATTTTTCTTGAATATGTTGAAAGTCTGGTACATAGGATTGACGGTGTTCCGCAGCGGTTGAACTTCTCAACTATTGAAAATGAAGAAACTCTTTTTTTTTCGTGTATGTGTTTGTCTGGTGTATATTCGCAATCCTTTTACGAACTCTTTGGTCATTTTCCGTACATATTTCTCTTCAGAAACTGGTTGTCAGGCGGTGCGAAAGAGAAGACCCGTTTAGAGCAGAACTGGAATCAAGGAGTCGCTCAGTACCATGTTTTGCGGGCTGGCAAAATCAAATTCATGCCATACCTCGCGCAAACAAAATGTGGAAGACTATGGATGAGTCTGGGACGAAAACTAACGATGTTGAACATCAAAGACTCGATCGGCAATGGCCGGAAAGGAAGCAAAGTTTTCATGGTAGACGGACCCCGAGCCGACATCACGCAATTCTGCATCGACGGCGACCTTCTTTTAGCTGCCTCTGTGTGAGTGATGATGCAACGACCCAAAAACTTGTGGTCTTTAGAAGTTTTTTATTTTCTTTTTTTACTTCAGAGATGGCAGTGTCCGGGGTTGGAGTGAATCAACCGGCTCGAGTTTGTTCGTGCGTTCGTTTGCCCACGCGGATGAAGTTCAAGCGATTGACTGCCTCAACTCTTTTGTTGTCTCTGGGAGCAAGACCAGGATGATCAAAGTTCGTTTTCAATGTGCTCAGTTCAGATAATTTTCGATATTTTGCGTTAAAGAATCGTCGAAATTCTCGAGTGAACCATTCATATTTTAAGCATGCGTTTGGGCCGTTCCCACTTCATAGTAATGAAACCGAAGTATAGACGACCCACTGACTCCGAGAAATAATTCAATTTTTTTTTTTCAGTAAGCACGGACATATTCAACACACTGTTCGCACATGTTACCTACGAGAGATCTCATTTAATTAATTTTGTGTTCGAAGAGAAAAATCTCAACTGATCGTTGAAAAAAACGTTTAAAGCAACGAAAAAGTGAAATATTCGAAGCGAGGAAATATTCAGGTGAAACTAATGTTACATCGTTCAAATTATCAGTTGAACTTCATATTTTAATCATGGTTCTAAGCTCTTCCGACTTCTTCATAGCAATAAAACCGAAGTGCGGAAGATCCACTGAGTCAGTTTATTCCCGCAGTAAACACAGGCATGAACACCACACTGTTCACGCATCTGACCAACTATAGATCTCATTTAATTAATTTCGTGTGGGAGGAAAATATCGATTAAATGTTGACCAAAGACGTCTAAAGCAACAAAGAAAGTGATATATTAGATGTGAGTCGATATGCAGATGAAAAGATTTTCGTTCTTCTCGGTGAACTTGCTTGCTTGTCGGAAATGACATTAAAAACTTTCATATTGATCCCTTTTGACATCGCCGTTGAATTATGTTTCAGTTTTGGAAAGTGGACCGGTTACGTTTGCAGGCCAAAGCTGCCGTGAATGTTGGCGACGTGGTTTTGTGTTGCAAAATATCCCCGAGCTCAGAATTGTGCGCCGTTGGTCTTACCGGCCATGCTGTGACGGATCATTTAACATTCATCGACATTTCAACGTTTGTGTAACGAGTTAATGCCTTCGTTGATTTTTTTTTATAATATTTTTTTTTTCGCACAGTGCAGAGAAGTTGAATTTGTTGAGGAGTGATACGATGCATATTTCGATTCCTTGTCATCGTGGTATCCGCGACGTTGCCTGGCATTCGGAGCATCTTCTCTACGCAGCTGGATATGATCCCATTTTGCGCTTAATTGATATTCGGTGAGTTTTAGCTTTCTTCGTTGTTCATCTGTGATAGCAAAACCTGGGTAGCTTAAAAAATGTTGGTTGATCCAAAATTAAAGTTCTAATGAGATATACCCGTATTTACTCGAGTGCCACGCGTCCTCGAGTTAAGACGCGCACCATTTTTTTTTTTTTTTTTTTTTTTTTTTTTTTAT